CTCTCCCCAATATACCCCTACTAACTTCAAAAACCAGCAACGGCACCAGCGGCGTCCTAAACACAGCCGGCTCCGTCGTCGGCACCGCAGGCCGTGGCCTCGGCGATACCATCACAGGCGTGACAGGCAATACAGGGAAGCCCGTTGGCGATGGCTTGAAGTATGTAACGAATGGCGTGGAGGGAGGTGCCGCCAGTGTGGCCGGTGGGGTGAAGAAGGCGGGGGATGGGAAATAGATAGGGATACACGAGGGGATTTCCAGTTTGAAGGAGTGAAATGAATAAAATAGGATGATTGGAATGAAATACGATATAATGCAATGACTTGGCCTGTACTACTACATAGGCGAGATTGTCAAGATTATGGAATCAACGGAATAGGCAGGCTTTCTCTTCTTCAAATTACTACTCGTTAAGCTGTTATGATGCATTTTATAAACTGAACTGTTTTCCGTATTTCTATCTCCAGCCAAGAAGAATCGCAAAAACAAATCACGCCGAACGGCAGAGATTATTGGTAGAAATCCCATTCATTTCACAACTAGGCTATTAAAATTCAAATCCAAATCCATGGTAACAAATGCAAATATTCAAGGGTATAAATTGGCATTATGCTGATCGATACTGCTGATATCCGAAACACTCGTCATGCGTGATGAAGTGCGCTGCATCCGCGCCGAAGGCTGATAGACTCGTCCAAAATTACTACCCGTATTTTCCTCGATCATACGACCCACCATATTCAACGGAGTCAGAGCCGGATCAATGCCAGTGCTAGTGCCAGTGCCACTCTCACTCTGCATCTTATCCACCAACTCAATATTCTTGAAATCAGCGCTCCATCTACTCTCTTCGTCTCCAGATCACGAGAATGTTTATTCGCCTCATAATTGTCCATCACCTTCCTCGATCCATTCTCGATGACGAGTCGGGCTCTCACACCCTCGTTTCTCCGTCCCGAACTGCTGCGCCATGAACTCAATCTCCATCTGATTCCGCGCTTGGTCTTCATGGAGTCGTAGACCACGCATCTCCTTCTCGCGCTCGTATAGTCGGGCAGAAATCATGTCATCCTCTAGATGCGCACTATTCTCGATTGCAAGACGCGCTGCCGTGGCCTCGTTTTCCTTGGCCATATTGGCGCCGGTAAACTCAAGCTCTAATGTATGCTTCATCTGCAGCTGTTCAGAAAGAACTGCGTTCATGTTCCTGCATGTAGCAACTTGAACGTCACCGATCTGCTTCATATGATCGCGTTCGGCAATTTGTCTGAAAGAAGTTACACGGTCATGCTCGCTTGCAGACTGCATTCCCAGTTGGAGTTGCATGGCAGCCCGCTCTTGCATGCGGATTTGTTCTGCTTGGCCTTTTTCGTTGGCCCAGCGGATCTCAGCTGCTGTCTGGAGGTCCATGATTTTAAATTCTTCCTGGATAACCATTCGTTTAAGATCAAGAGCAGCGATGGTATCTTGCTTACTCTCGGCGAGACGCTTTCGGCGGAGCTTTTGGCGGACGACTTCTTCTTCAACGTAGGCAGGAGCCCCGCAGTAGTCTTCGGGTTGATCTACCTCGATATCATTACCCCAGAACCTATCAATAATTCTCTTATTGCGTAGGAGCTTGAGAATCTCTTCCTTTTGTCCTGGTGGCCCTTTGAAAACATCCTTCTCAACGTACTTGGTTAGCGAATAAGTAAATTTGCCATCCAAATAAAGAAAGCTATCATGGTTGACTTTGGTCCACATAAGCTTCAGCAAAATGGTCAGAATAGGCATCGGATTCGAGGAGTCCATAGCATAATGGAGCATCGTCTTGGCGCATCGATCTTGTGATACGCACTTGAGCCAAATATCGGCGCCTCGACCTATGAGACATGTGACAGCCTCTTCCAAAGCGGCAGATTTCGGACTGTAGTCGACAGCCTTGTAACAGAGTTCTGCCAAAGCGCTCCGTCCATCGTGACGCTCGCTAGGATAATCGGGCTGATGTCCGTAGTCGATGAGGAGGCGTATCGAGTGACAGCGTAGCTCACGAGCTGCATCGTGGAGACTACCATCGTTTTGTTCGGCGTTTGCTCGAAGTAGGTATTCCATGATCTTTTGGTTTCCTGAACTGCTAGCCATTGCAAGAGGTGAAACGCCGTCGATGTTGGGAGTTTTGACGTTTGCGCCTTTTATGATGAGCTTGCAAACAATATCTGGTCGTTGGCCTTGAATGGCCAGTATAAGGGGCGTGAATCCGGACTTTGAATGGAAATTCACATTCGCTACCAATCACGTCAGTCTGAACCTATGACTGTGAATGGATCATTTTATGGATATCTCACCTCCTTGGTTAATCAGGTTTTCAATACTGATACTCGAAATTTTATTGTCGCCTTGCGCAAGTGCCCAGCAAAGAATTGGATCTTCTTCCATACCTAATTATCAATATTCTTGAGTCAGCAGTGCTTTTTACGATATATTTTAGGAGTCAGAATAAAGTTGCATTGTAGTAGAGGCAATGTGTCGAAGTAACCGACATTTCAAAATGCTCTTGGGACATTCCAAGTAGGAGAGATCTCTTTCAAGAAGGCTACTTACCTATAGCGGGATCTAGTTCCCGCATCTTCGATTGATTTGGATTATAGCCCATTTCGAGAAGAGCACTAAATATTTGCGGCTTCCTCGCAAACCTTTCTAGAGCTAGGAACAAAACGTGCGCAAGATCCGGAGTTGGATGTTCGAACGTATTATACACATGTTCGTCGCCGTCCTACGGTGAAGTTAGCTTTTGGATATTTGGAAATCATCAGGATAATGGCTAGAAGTCGCGAGACATTTTCAGAGGAAAATCTCGAGGCGTCCGTAGATCACGCCGATGTAGGGATAAGGACTTTAACTATCTTACCTGCATAGAGTCCATGAATGCCTGGATGCTTTTGAGTACCTCTGTGGGGTCGGTACCAGCCGAAAATAGGTAGGGAATCGCCATCGCCTTGCTATGAGCTGAAGAGTGAGGCAAGAGCTTCTTCGTCAGATCTAGATTAAATTGTTTCGTTGCCCATTGCAAGATACGCCCCTGTTGGTAGTTGACGTCGGCTCCAAATTGGAGGAGAACAGGGAGGAATTCTGTCACAAGTACCTGTTCGGTGCCAGTCAGCATTGTCTGATTGAGAACGAGCCTAGTTGAAGGGCGTATTCGTAACCGTCTCAGGTTGAGGTACCCAAAAGAATAAAATTTCATACCTGATTATCAATGCATGCTCTTCCGGCAGCCTTGCAAAGAGCCTCTGCTAGAGGATCTCCTGAAGCACCCTTTTCCAACATGAGTCTCATGATTCCAATGCCTTTCATAGATTGCCATTGCATGTCATTATTCATTGTGTCGTTGAATGCTGTAGAAATGAATGGTGCTGCTTTGGGACTTTCTACAAGAAGTTCCAGTGTCTCAACATCCTGAGACTGGGCGGCATAGATTATCGATTGGCCTTCATCATACGAATTGTAAGATAATAGCAACTTGACGAGTCGACGGTCTGGTGGAGTTTGTTGGACAGCATGGATGAGGCTGTTGATGACATGTCTATCAATCGCTTTTCCAGCTGTCAAGAGTCGGTCGATTACCGGGTATCGTTGCTGATTGGGAAGCCCGGCAACAATAACGTACGCATCCCTGAGAACGTTTTCGGAGACCTGCTTCTGCAATAGAAGACTCAAAGTCTCCGTGCAACCAGGATTCTGACAAGCGATATAGACCGCTTCTCCTCCATTCCATTCAGCCGACGCACCATTGTTGTACAGGAGCTGGGACAATTTCAAATTCACGTCACCTTCCCTAACAGATGCAAGTAATGCGACATTGATGGACTCTCCTTGAACTCCAGCTTCCAAAAGAATCTCGGCGACCAGGTAATAACAATCTCGATCTCCTTTCTCTTTCAATGCCATTGCAGCCACGAATGCGCTTGTTAAAATAGAATTGGATGGCTTGGTGCAATGCTCTCCACTAACAAGTGATTTCAAGATGCTGCTGTGTCCAGAATTAGCAGCGTGAATAACTGCATGACCATTATTATGCTCGACAAGTGCACCGTGTCTCAAGAAGAGCTCCGCGAGTGGGAAATCGGCAGTGATGACTGCGGTTATGAGACTTTCAGAGATTATTGATCTGGATATCCCAAATTTGAGGAGTTTGTTGACAATATCGAGTCTCTTTAGCTAATTCTAGAGATTCATAGCTTCCTTAAATGCTGCGGTTTTCGTGGAATTTGATGGTATGATTGGATATGCGGCAAGCAGTATATCAAGGCCTTCGATGAACATATGTTTGATGACCAAACGTAGCGCTTGTCCTTCCTTATAATTAACGTCCGCACGTGGTACCATCAGTCTCAGTATAGAAATCGCTGTTTCCTTCTCGTTCTTTAGTACATGAACCATGGATTTGTTGTTCACTTCTCCAGAAACACCGGCTTTCCAAAGCTTCTCGGCCAGAATGCATCGTGCTGGCTCTATCAGATTCATGGCTTGCTGCAAGGCTTTGGTGAGGCTGATCATGCTTGGACGTTTGGAGAGCATGAGATCCATGATGTCTGGATAATTGATGGATCCCCAAACCGCTGCGCCTTCACGTGCATTCACATCCGCTCCAGCGTCTAATAAAACTCTGATTACGCCAAGATCAGCACTCGACTCTGCCATAGTGGCAGATTTGATCTCTTGGATGAGCGCATCATCCAAAGCTTGCTGCGGCTTAACCACTTGAAGTAGGATCTCGACCTTGTCGCGACGATGTATGTCTGTTGTAGGAAGCTCGATAGCACATCTCAGAGCTCTCTGCACAGTGGTGGAAGCAGGTAAGCCGCCATGGCTTTTGAGCACTGCTTCCAGGATCTCAAGGCCCTCTAATTTCGTGGCCAATTCGACGGCTAGGCCTTCTTGCGCATTGATATTGGCTTTTCCGTCTTGGCAAAGCAAGTTTAGGAGGTGATTGTCTTCAGGAGTATTCTGTAGAAGAGTGATGACAGCCTGAGAGACTTGGACGTTATCCGTACCAGCTGCTGTGGCAGGAGCTAAGAGGAGCTGGATGATCTGATATCGATTGAACGGGTCATGGAGCTTCATTGCCAGTGGTATTGCTGCCGTGCAAGTCGCGGGGGCAATATTTCCAGACAAAAGTATCCTAAGGGTCTCCGCCAAACCTTGAGTGACTACACCTAGTAGTGTTTCTTCCAGCACAGTTGCTCCGTGTCGGACAAGGATGTCGACGAGTCGGTCGGATCTCTGCGGTCTGGTCGCTACTCGGTGTAATTCATCGTCGACACCGGGACCTTTAGCACCAGCCCGTAGCAACGTTTCAACCACTAGGAAGTGGGATTCCTCATTCGGATTCGGCGGTATGGCAGCGAATGCATTGGAGAGCGAGAAGCTAGTTGCACGACCTTTATGTGCCAAAAATCTAATCATCGGTAGGTTATTCCGAACCAAAGCTGTTTTAATGCAGCTGGCAGCGTTGTAATCCACAGAGCAAATAGGAGGACCGTTCTGCTCTCTCCCGTACGTGACAAGGATGTGAGCAGTCTCCATGTCGTTTTGATCTGCAGCTACAATCAGCAGCTCATTACAATGTGTTCCGCATGCGCCGTGTATTAATAATTTCGAGAGTATTGCAGTCTTTTCCATGGATGGAACGTCGCGAGGAATGTGGTGGACCAATTCAGACGCGGTTGTAGCGCTTAGAGTATGGTCTTCGAGGAGCATTTCGACGAGGAAGGTACGGTTGTGTTGGATGGCGTCGCCGACAGCAGCACCTGCCTTGTAGTTGATATCAATGTCGTATCTCAATAACAGCTGCATGAGATCGATGCCGATCTCCTTCGTCGCTTGGATGAGGCCATCATTTACTGCATCCCCGACGGGACCTGCAAATTCTCTAAGTCAGCGATACTTCATTCTTACACGTCCGCAATACCCGTCACTCTGATCAAAGGATGAAATGCTCCAAGAAGTCACGTACCAGCACACAATAACAGCTCAATCATAAGGTGACTGCCAATCGCACCAGATTGGGGAGCTGAAAATACTAACGCCAGAGCTCGGTCTAGTGAGGGGCCTGAAGGGGGCGATTGGCCTAATAGTATGGTGGCAACGATATTCACCTGCATAGTGCGTACCGCGCACATCAGAGTAGATGCATTGTCGTGGTCTCCATCAGCACCAGCCTTTGCAAGCAGTGTCACGATTCTATCATATTTACTTGTGGCGGCGGGCAGTAGGAGTTGCGAGATGCATTCGTTGGGGACCCTGTGTCTAGCACGCAACAGTAGACCCACGAGCGCGACGTCGTTATTTTTGACAGCTTCAGAAAAGGCTGTATCGTGAGGTGTTGCATTGGCGCCTGATGACAAGATCAACATTGAGTCTACACAAACGTGGTAAAGAATTCTGCTTACCATACTGCAATAGTAGTTTAATGATTGCCATATCCTTGAACCCAAGTGCAATCCGAAGCGACTCGTCAAGACTTACTTGGTTGCCATGTGGGACCAGGAGCTGAACATATGGCTCACTGCGTTTTGTTGTCGCTTTTTGAAGAAGATATCCACGTTCTCGGGGGATGTTGCTATGTAGCTTGCGCGATTTCCCCTGTCTCGCAAGGCTGATGTCTCCACCCTCTTCTTTGAACCTCTTCAGAAGCGCTTCAAGTACTCCTGGCAAGCCATTTTCTTCAATGACCTTTGCCAGTCCATCGTAGAGATGGGCGTAGGAGTACACGCTGTATTTTTCGGGTTTGCATGATTTTTTTAGACTGGGGTTTTGAGAAGACTCAATTTCGAATTGCCCAAGTATGGCTTTCGCCTTTCGATCATCGTCTGGGCCAGAAAATGTCGGTGGGTTGGCAAGGGCAGTGAGGGGGGCGGTGTTGGTGGTTGGAATAGCACCAAGTTGGTTTGCTAGCTCTTGCAGTCGCTGGGAGCGCTGCTGTTTTGTAGGAGGAGCCATCGATGCGTTTTTCAGATGGACTGAGCTAAGTCGAAGGAGAATTGAAGTAGCAGGTGCAGAACCTTGAGAGCGGTTTTGATTATTGAAGGATGACGACAGATAGTGTAGGGATTGTAGGAATCCAAAAGATATGTTGTGATAAAAAGGACTATGAGTAAAGAGTGCAAGAGTTATTTATTGAGGTGGATGGGGCATGAGGGTTTTTATCTGGAGACAGGAAAGACTTTATAGGGAAGAATTTTCAGCAGCGAGCCTCATGTTAGATAGGGGGGTAAATGTGAATTGTACCAGGTCAATTGCAATTGCAAGGATACCGTGTGGATTCACTCAATGCACGTCGAGCAACATCTGATTGACTTTCTACCAAGTGTGATGATAGAACTTGGTTTTAAGATCGGAAGGACGAGTAGTCTCTTGCTATTTGCAAGATGGCTGAAGAAGATTTGCAGTTTCACGAGTACTTAGGAAGGGATGAAAGACCAGTTCAAAAGAGAGCACGGAAGCATAATGTAAGCTTGTTGACCACTTCAAATACACTACGAGCGAAGGAGATGGCAAAATTAACTGTCCATACTCGGGAACCTCGAAGCGCTTTCGCCATTGCTTCTAAAGCCAGTTCAGGGCGCATCCCGTGCTACATGATGAACATGGACGGCAATCATGGACATCTAGATTCTTAGCTGAAGCAACTCATAAGAAATAAAGGTATTATAAGCAAAAGAGCAAACCAGATTGCCAGGAGGTTTGCAGCGACATTATGATGGGTACAGTAAGTAGTGTGGAAAGTTTATCAAGCACAGAAGAACGAAACGAAAACACGACGAGACGAACTGATGTCTCGGCCGCGCTAATGTCCCCCCTGCCGCTTTTGAATCTTTTGACGCTGCTTTCCAACACAAAACCTTCAGCTCCTTATCAGTTCCCTATGGTAACATCTCAAAGTAAACAAACAAATACGCACCAACACGCATAGCCTTAGGGGACGCGGAGCATAGTCGCGTATATAAAAGGGGCTGGGCTGAACAGTCACACAGCGCGTTGATTTCGCGATGAAACACCAAACAACCGCCCACAGCCAGTCGTCAGTCACGTGTTGACGAACATGGAAAACAGAGTGGAAGAGTCATATTTTCTTGGCTAGTACCTTGAATTGCAATAAGAATGCATTTAATCGTTAGCTGATACCTTTTTTGCTCTGTATTACTGTTCATACTAGTTGATTCGGTGATTCTTGACATCACGTGTATTATCCCCCCTTTTGTTTCTCTCGAGATCTTATTATATACGACATTGATTTCGTTCAGTAATTATTTCTTGTACTGCACCAGCTCAGTCAAGATGGGTTTGCCTTTGTTCCGTGCAATCAAATTCGAATTAAATCCCCCATTACCAGTAAGTAAACAAAAGTCCTTCTCTTCCTTCAAACTCATTGAACCACAAATCACATCAACTAACAACCCCTTTTCTGCCATCTAGTATACATCCTCCGCACCTACCCAACCAACCCTCCTCGCCATACCCCCAGAACTCCTCTTAAACATCATCTCCCACCTCCCAACGAGCGCTGACTTCCTCCCCCTCGTCCAAACCTCCCGTGGCCTGAAATCCTTCTTCGCAACACACGCTGCCCAAATCTGCAACACGCACATTACCAAATACTACGCTCTGGAAGCCGCAGTCCTACACTCCCAAATGACAAAAGAAGAACACGGAACCAATTGGCTCATCCCAACCCTCCGCTGCATACGCCGCGGAGAACTACACCATTATCGATATTCCACGCAAAGTTCTAATAAAGGCGCAGACAATGATTTGCTGCGGAAACTCAGCCTCACGGTTCCGGGCCCCCAGTTCCTGGCTAGCTTGGAGGCCTGTCACGATGAAATCCGCACCTGGATGCGGGTCGACGAGGGAGAGACAGCGCCACGTGGAACGAGGCTTGAGTGGGCGCTGGGTACGTATACGTTTCCACGGTTCGAGAATATGGTCGTGGACTTTGTAGCTGCCTTTGGAGAAGAGCGTGGAAATGGGAGTGGAAGTGGAGGTGTGGTGGTTAGGTTACGGAAGAGGGTCGTAGGGAAGGTCGTAGTGGTTAAGCAGGGCTTGATAGAGAGGAAGAAAAAGGAAAAGGCTGGGGAGAGAGCGGCATTGCTATTTGGGGAGATCGAGAAAGTTGGGGAGTCGGAGGTTGAGAGGAGGGAGGGGTTTGGGAGGGGCTTGTTGTGGTATTATGGGCGATCGGGAGTTTGCCCACTGGAATCAACATCCGGGAAAACTAGAGAGGTAAGCTTGCTTAATTCCCATCTTACTACATGGATTGAATTACTAACGCGATGTAGGTTGGAAAAGTCCGGAAGTGTGCTTCCAATATGAGGCAGAAGATCAAGAGAATCGGTGCTTCGATCGAGAATGTGTTTCGACGGCTTGACACTTGTTCTGCTGGATTTGAGGTACTGGATTAGAGCAACCACACATCTCATATTATGAGATTTTGAGCTTGAAGCAACGGCGTAATATGGGTAGGATATTGATGTTGGTTGAAATGAACGGCATTTATCCACAAGGTATGGGACTCGGAGAAGGCGGATGTTGGACAATTCATGTATACTAAAGCGCGGGCGCAACCCACTTCCCGCCCGGAACTTTCCTTGCCTGTACTCAACTCCAGTCACAAAGATCATAATCAAATTTTAAAAATACAGTTAACTCTTGTAGTCATTTACAACCTTCTCGACCGTAACTATCACGATTTGGCGCTTCATCTTGATGCTCCCCTTCAAGAAAGTAAGCAGCTGACAAGCCCTCCACAGTGGCATTGCGCAAATAACCCCCATCGACTACACCAATAAATTTTGCACTGTCATCAACAGGATATCTTGAAATGAAAGACCACCGTGGCAGAGGACAGACTACCCAGATTCGCGAATTCAAGACGGGCCCGTAGCCAGGTTTCGCTACTCGTGATTAGGCCTCGAGGGAAATCTTGGGTTGCATGATCGCCCTGGAAAAAGAATATTGATACCAGCTGTCCGAGGAGAGGCCGCGTCTGCAAGAGGAGCTATTTTTGTGTTGACCACCATCGCCTTAAATTCGTCTTCGGATTCCTTACTTCCTAGAGTTGAAGAGTTTGCCTTAGAGGTTGGAGGACGCTTCGTTCAGGGTTTCTTCGTTGACAAGTAGATTGTCGCTGGGTTTCGTGTTTTGACTGTCTTCTGTGGTGCCTTGAGATGCCGCATGCTCGGCAGGAACAGATTCAGGGCTTGGGGAGAGAAAGAGAATTCCAATGGCAGGGAACTTGTGACGGAACAATTGGACTTGGTACTTGGCTAGAACTCGACAGTACAAGCAGCGCTCGAATGGAGTTTGAAGTGTCTGCGCGCCATCAATTCAATCTTGGCGATGTGTGGTTCCGGGGTCCAGCGAGGCTCAAGGCCGAACATATCAGAAACCCATTTTAGAGAGTCTTGAGTGCCCATTTTTAAGTTGGAGAAAGGAATTTGAAGAGAAGTGGTTTACAAACGGGTGGTAATGAAGGCAAGCAAGCGCGTCGTCGCTAGAATGATTTGATTGGTGGCCATATTGTATACCAGGAAAGAGCGACAATGGTCCAACATCGCTGAAGCAACTGCTTATTTTGCTAAAAAGACCCCTAAGGTACTCCTTTAAGGCCGTACTTGGCTTGAATAAGATCAGTTTCTCGATCACGTGCCGGACCGGCAGCCAGACTGAACCATTGCTAAGCCCAGAACAGTTACGCAAAAAAACAGTGATATTCTAGCATAACTCGAAAGGAAAGACAACATTGGTAAGTTGGTAATAGAGATACAAATCAAGGCAAAAATGAACTTTAGCTGTCGTTAAGGAACCATCAGGTACCTGTTTTCACGACTGTAAATCCATGTATAAAGTTGTTGCCATTTTTGCCTAGAGCCTACCTAGACATGGTCAACTATTATTAGGTTTGGAAAGCCATTACCACAGTGCTAGTAAGCTGTACCTGCATGATATGCGTGATCTATGTCTGGATCGATATATCTAGCAGACATGAAATGATACCATGCTTCCCAAGGAGAACCACCTAGTTTCGGTATAAATAATCAAAAAGGAGGAGATGTTGTTGAAATGGCGTGAGGAAAGAGAGAAGGTTGACGTTCGTTCCACTTCATGTCGTTTTCTAGCGTGGAAACCTGAGGGATTATCTCATTCTGGCCTGGCTTGTTCCAGTGCTAGCTAGACCAGAAAAGCGGCACCGGATTTTAAAATGTTCCACGCCAAGTGACACATTAAAAAGCAGTGCCGCTTCATTGCATCGGCATGCCATACCTGCCATACCTGCCATATCAATCGCAATAATACTTCTTCTCTCCTCCTTTCCACCACGTCGACTTGCATCCACATCCACGCCGCACTACAGATTTACACGACACAATGGGCATTTGCTCGTCCTGCCTCGGCCGAGACGGAGACCGTGATCCATCCGACGAGGTAAGTTGAGCTGCCATTATCAGTCCAGAAGCCGGTTCACTAAGCATCTTTCCCGCAGGACGAAAGCTCGAGGTTGCTGTTCGACGACCCCCATGGGAACCACTATGGTAGTTTCGGTGACCAACATACCGGGGTAACGCAAGCAGATGCACAAGAAGTCCAACGAGAAACCGAGGCCTTACAGAAAGTTGTGGCACAGACATCAAAGTATGTACAGTATTCTGACGTTGGGGGCTCTCGCCAGTTGATCTTCAATTACACCCTCCCCCGCTTCTATACGAGGAACTGAGCTAATATAAAACCTACAGTCATCTTGTCGATATATTTGCACTTGTGCCACAGAACGGTACTCCAGCGCCGCCGGCAGTTTTCCCCGCGCAAGACGCCAAGCTACTACGATACCAAGATGTTCTGGCAACTATATCAACACACGACCAATCTAACCAGACCAAACGCGCGTCCACCGACAACACACCCATCGTTTCTGATGGCTGGATATCGGAGGACGACGATATGGAGGAAACGAATCGGCATACACCGGTCAAATCAGAAGGCATAGGACCACTACTTGGAGGGTTCGCAGATGCGGAGTCGGCCATGGAGTAGCATGGAGTACCTGGAAAAGCATGAAAAAGCATGGTTGTTGGCGACAATATTGAATGAGTGTGTCGCACGGCGTCAGGGCGTTCGGTGCTTGTTACAATACCCTCACACATGGAGCATTTCTCGCCGCATTTTCGTGGATGGATAGCTGGTCATTGGGTTTTGACTGGACAAGCCACTGTAATTTGACTATGCGTTGTATCATTTCAGCATTTCTTTTGTCAAAAGCGCTTGGTTACTGGCTGCTGATTCATTCATCGGAGCCTATCATGTTGCTCTCACGCCTTGCAGTTAGGCTGGCACATATGTCCATTGAGGGTTAGCCACGTTTGCAAAAAACACCTCATCTAACTCTCTTCTACCGTCTCATAAAGGCTACAGGATTTCCTCGTTCTTGTGTTCTTCTTTCCAAATTTCCAACCTCTCCGTTCAGTGTGAGGCATGGACCACTTCCGAGTGCTCAGATGTACAAGCAGGCGCGGACATTCCATCCTGGCCCTGGCTAATTAGGATCACCTACAGCGCTTAGACAACACTTCCCCTCAAAACAACACAACAACAACGGAATCACGCCCGCCCCTCTCCTCCGGCAGCAACACCTGGAAACCGTACTTTGACTTGACGATAATGGAATTCTGATCTATATGTCAATCTTTTCTCGTTGCCGTGATTGCTCTGCTCTACTCTAGCTGGCATCATTTATCAACTATTGCCGCCGGACCAGCAGGCTAAGCGCCCGGCTCAGTTGTCCTTTGAGTTCCGAACTCCAGTCATGATTTTCACTGGAGCGATTGACTGACTGCGGTCTCACAATCATCCTGAGGCCGGAAGAATGAGTTGGAACCGTTTCATCGTTACACTATCTAAGATCCGAGATGATTACATCCCACTCCCCCAAGCCAGTCATTTCCAGCGCCGCGATCAAATTCAAATCCAAACTTCAAGGAAAGACTCCCAAAGAACCCAAGAACGAGCGAGAACCATACAAATGAAGAAGACCCGACCATTTTTTCACTCTGCCACTCCATTTCGACTCGTCAATCATCTTGTTGAGAGAGTAGCCTGACTTCGCTGGTACTGAAGATCCTGAATCTCCCACTCCAGTTGGGCGATTATCCCCTGTGAGTTTTCGATAGAAGCACCACGGTGGTGTCCGCGCTGTTGTTCATGTTCCCATCGGTGGATACGCTCTTGCTCCTTCACGAGACGCCCCTTCTTGGTGTCGATCTTGGAGCAGACCTTGCACTTCTCGTGCTTGGTAATTGTGTTCATGACCAGCTTCATACCGCAAGTCTCGCCGGTGCGGTATTCCTTCGAGCAATGCTGACGGAAGTGGCCCCATTTATAGTCGCCACAGTACATCTGATACTGCTCATAGAAGCACATGATGGTTTGATCTGTGGGTCTGAACTTTGTTAGCCGCGCTCTTTGTTGACCACAACTGAAACGTCCTTTGGTTTGGGCTTGGATACTTACTGGTTGGTGCTGCGAAGTTTGAATTGTCGAGAAGCACTACGATGATGGTAGAGCTTGGAGTAAAGTGGAGTGTGAGGTTCGATTGCTGGTTGATGCGTTTGAAGATTGAGAATGTTGCAGACTGTGAGGAATGTCTGGATGAGAGTGATAATTGCTGATGATGATACAGACTCGATTTCATGGCCAGGAGGAGGGGTATTTATATTCCAATCGACACCAAGCAAAATGAAAACACTCACGCTTTTCGCCTTCAACCCGGCTAACTTACTTCTTTCCCACGGCCCCTCACCTTCCCGTCATCATGAACGGACCAACAGACAACAAACATCTGCAAGTTTGGTCATTGTCTCCCCAGGCATCCATGCCTTCGAGGTCAATATCAGGTCTGTCGATAACAGGCATTTCGTATCACATCCTTGAACTCGCCTCATACTCGGCCCAACCGTTCCCTCGATCACCTTTCAATCGGACGATCTGGCCCTGTCGAGGCATTACTTACATGACTATAGGACGGAATACTAGGTTTGAACCTGCCAGCACATGCAAGTCTCTGTTGCATGTTGACAAGCCCATGCAAGCTGTCTCTCTCGGCACATTCAGCAGACGGGGTTATTAGATCACGTTACGGATCTTTGGTCCATGTTCATCGAGGGTCTCTGGAGCGCCACCGTTGAGCAAACGATTACTGGTTGGAGAAATGAAGCTTATGTGGAGCTATCCCTTTGTTGATGGGCACGGGACGGTCGACAGCCCTGAGGAAGCCATGCATCTCGTTGCATTGGAGGGCTTGGTATCATGGATCTTCGAACAAGTGCCTCAGAAACTTTTGGTCCCATCCAACCGGAATACCTGAAATATCAGCCGCTGCTATATCGTTCTTATTACGCCCGACGAAAGTGTGGCAATGGGCCTGCAACGCGGCTTTTCATTACATTTGGCAAGTGCTACATCCTTGATATTAAGTCTCGTCATCTTTTTCGGTCCACAAACATCATACGGTGATTCTGTAGAGTCTCTGTACTCGTATACCGTTGGACAAGACATCTTGAATTTTCAATCCGCCCTGTCTGGGCCAATCTTCCAGGGCCTGGTCATCAAGTCTGCTGACTGTCAGTCACCGTGGAAGAATGGATCTATTTTCTGCAGCCGCTATTGCCCGCATGGACTTTGTGAGGAATGCCTCAACTTGCATCCGAACTATACCTCTCTGGCTCATCCGATCCTCTTCCTCAGGATACCAACCGATGCGTTGTCAGTGATAGCTCCAGGGAAGATCAACCTCCTTTATCACCCTGCATGGAGACCAACAGAAGAGATAGGGCTCCTGCAGATCTCCACATCTTCTCGCCACTCGTTACGGATTCTCATTACACTACAAGACAGCTAAAGTTCTCGCTAAGATGTTGGAGGCAATTGGGGTGTTACTGACGTGGCGAGCTTACCTTGGTGGACTGGTTTTCCAGTCTTATTTGGAGAATGTTAAGGCTTTCAGCTGCATTGCACTAAAGTCAGGAATCACACAGCATCTTTTCATCACAAAAATTGACTTTCTATCACAAAAGGCAAGGCAGAATCTCACTCCCTGTTATTTGCATTTGAAAGCAAAAAGAAATACCGCATCTGCCGGGCGTTATCATTACCAGCTGAATATGCCCATTGTGCTATTTCTGGGTAGTCTGAAGGCCGAGTGATCACCTATCTCCTTTCTTATTGCTGCATATCAGGAGGTCAGCATTGCTACGACCGCAATGACGGCAACATCGCATGGTGGCAAAGTAAAGCCATGCAGCACTCATCACACCCTCCAGGCTGATTGAGTCAGTCCTTCTAAGAACCTGCATTTTCAGGCCGTAGGCAGCATTTGGATCAAAGGATGAGCAGATATGGTACGGATACGCCGGCGTCGAGGGCGTATTTCTGGACGCGAAAAAGAGAGGGGTTGGGGTTAGCCCAGGCTACGCTTGTCGAGTCAATTGAACCGATGCAAGAGAGTTGGTATGTTGGGAACAGAATTGGCCGTTAACCGATGTTTACAAACAGCAAGCTTCAGATTGGGTGTGGATTGGGGGCTTTTGGCACGAATCGTGGTTGAGAGGTAAATAAACAAGGCCCAAGGCCCCCGTTTTGGCCAAGCGAGAAGATAGCTCCGAGCAAAAATCAAGGGACTTCTAATCCAAAACTTTAGCTGCAAAGATTCTGCTACGGACAGATTTTGGGAAAATTCAATCTTTTGAAGACGTTCATTTTTGTTCCGACAATTCGGGTCACTATTCAATCATGTGCTTTTTAGTCTCTGCGGAAGGGCGGGCGGTACCCCATTTGCACGCAGCCAATGGCACGCGTGGTTTGGTAGCAAAAGAAATAAGGTATGGTGCAGCCTCACCAAGTGCCGTTCTGGCATGCTTATTGGTGCTATGAGCTGCGGGAGAGGCTGTAGGGAGATAAACATTGGCTGGTGGTCGAGGCGGGGTCCAACTTTGATAGCACCATCTCGTCGCCTTTCACTGTCAAATCATGAGCCCAGCTGAGCCAAGTACACGTCGAGCTCCTGCTGGCGGCTTCCGCGGCGGCCGGCTAAGGGATAGGAAGGGAATAGTAGGATCTATCCATCGGACGGGCTTGCTTGAGTCGGCGCACGGCATGTAAGTACTCTACTCTACTGTGAAAGCCACGCTATGCCATGATATGCCATGCCATGATATGCCATGCCATGTCATGCCATGCAATGCAATGCGCCGCGATAGCATGCAACGCAGAGACAGGGCGAGTGTGCCATGTATCGTTGGCCTGTGTTGCTTCCTCTTGACGGCCAGAGTGAGCTGGCGAGCATTTGGGCTTTGGGCCATCATCTGGGCCGCCTTGAATTTCAAGGGGCCAATGGGTGAACCTGTCCACTGATGAGGCTCTAGCTTGTAGGACGCGCTGAGGCCGGCCGGCCACCGCGAAGACGTGTATACCCCGCTGGTGGGACTTGTACGTGAGTAGGAAAGAGAGAAAAGTTGTATAGTAGTATTACGTTACATGGTGCCTTGATGGAAAGATACATTTGCTTAGATGCACGGAAGCCCAATTGCCTTGCCTTGCCTTGCATTTGTCAACGGCTTTGATACACGTAATACACGTAATACACGTGGATGATGGAAGAGATAAATGGGTATAGCAAACAAGCATGTGAGATGGTGCAATCTGAGAAGTGACTGAGTGAACTGAAAATATTGCACCTCCTCGAGACTTAGAGAAGAATACATTATTCAAAATTATTTTGACATGAGATTTCTTGGTTATCTACTTGTATACCTATACATCTGCATGCGGTGATATTAAGCTTGTTTTTATACCGAACCCCTGTCTGGCAGCCTGTTTGCTCTTTCATCAAATGTCTCAGATCCGAAGTCATGTATCACGTACCCCGCTAATACGACGACGACGACGATAACTCGAACCCGATGAAAACGGACGAAAACCTCTTCCCAATACTTTCAAATTCACCCTAAACTCCAAATACTTTCTACTAAACCCTCTTGTGAAGTAATATCATGACCTTATAACGTCCAAAATGGCAGTTGATACATACGATCACACCTCTTTGAGCATCCTCCCGGATGAGCTCCTCCTTACGATCCTTTCTTACCTCGATATACCAGACCTGTAAGTCCATTCAAGTGCAATTCCACACTCATTTCCATCCTATCCCACTTCAAAAACACTCCCTTAAAGCCCTCAACCTTCTCCTAGCATCTGCCTGCCCCGATCTAAGAAGCTATACTAACACCACCACACAGTCTCTCCACAACTCGCACCTCTCACCGCCTCCGCACTCTTTCTTTCGACCCCCTCCTCCACACCACACGCCTCCACCGCGCCTCCACCACGCTGTCGCTCTCGCTGCCGCTGCGCCCGTCCCTCGCACAGCTCATGGCGCACCGCATCTACATCACACGCACCACGCTCGCAGCGCGCCACCTAGGCCGGAACCTGATCAAGATAAAACTCAACCGCTCGCTGCTCAAACGACCCAGTCAAGAGGAGTTGGTGGGTCGAGGCGTGCTACCCCGTGAGTGTGTGGTGGGCGGCCTCGCACCGGGGCTGGTCGAAGTTAAGAGACGCGTGGAGAGGGAGAGGGTTAAGGATACGTTGAGGGAGTGGGTGGGGGAGTGGAGGAGACGGGGGTGGGAAAGTAGGAGCGAAGAGGAGGTTAGACCGGATGTGGGGAGGTTGGTCAGAAGGTTTGCGAGGGATAGGGATGGTGGGAGGAATTCGGGGAGGTGGGGAAGGGGTGTTGAGATGGGGGCGGAGAGGCAGAGGGGGAGAGAGGAACCTGCAAGGGCGAAGGTATTGGGGTTGAAGAGGTTTTGGGAGAAGGTTGGAAGGGACGGGGTTGGTTCTTGATATGTTTGTGGGTTTGGGTATGGGTTTTGGTTTTATCCACGAGTTGGCGTCGTCTAGGAGGATTGACTAATGTGACCATGAGATAGGCATATATTGGGAGTTGCTTTGTCATTTACACTGTTCTTTTGAAGTTCTCGCTACCTGCATATATGTTGCTCCCTTTGAAGACTAGTGTCGTATCATTCCGTGGATTTCACCTTTCTGGATACTATGCTTGCTTGTTGTCATCACTTTTGAGAGTATGGTTTCTCTAAGTAAAGAATACTCGAGGAACAGCATCTGAGAAACACAAAGTTGTTTTAACAAGGGGAGCATATCTCAACTAGGTGTCGTACCTCGCCCAAGAGCGAGTTCTACTATAGGAGATCGATCTACTTGCATTACATGCATCCTGTTTTGTTCCTCCAATAGCTATGTTGTGCGTACTTGTTAGACCCAATGGCCCCGGTGAGCTTTGATACTCAGAGTCCAATGTGAAATGTACTCAGAGCTAGGTACGAATGAGGACTTCGTCAGCCATTTCCATCTAATGCTCCATATGGGCCACGAAGTCATAGATGGCATTGGGACTCGGATTCTCTTTGGAAGGTTTTTGTCTTCTTTAGACAAGTTTTGGTCTAGCTCTCCGACATTAGGTAAGGAGGGGGGAGTGATAAGAAGGCGAAAGGTCGCAGCCAGCTTCTTTGGATCACATGATCTTCTTTGCATGCATAGCACTCGCTGATTGGTGACATCCCTCACGTTGCAACCATAAGCACTCTTCCGACAATAAAACACTGCGGAGACTTGGCCGCTGCCTAAGCTTGTATTTCAGAGAGTATTCTTGACTTCACAATATCTCTTTCAGCTTGCAACATGAAGAAACCATATAACCAAGATTCTGACAAGGAACTTTCCCTCTATGAACTTTGTTAAACGTGCTCCGACTGAAGAGCCATTCATTTGGCGTGAGGAAGAGACGGACAAGTTCCACATAGTCGAGTCCTGCGATGTATTCGACAAGCCATCGTCCGAACTCGGTCGTCATGGCAAGGGCCATCGACAACTTCTCCACTGGTTTTGTTGTAAGTGTGACACGGGGCCCATGGCTTTAGAGGACGCGGACACGTTCGCTTTGTTTGAGAGTGAAAGTAGTTGTGCTGGTAAAGATTGTTCGCATCTCAAATGTGAGAATTGCATCCTAGCTGAGGGAACAGAAGAGGAAAATGGAAATATTTCATGGAACGGAACAATATCGAGTATATATGGGAAACAAGACGTCAATGGTCTAGCGCTGTCCGAGGGAAAATTGTTCAAGGATATCCCGATGAAAGACGACACACCGTTTGGGTATTGCGGAGAAGTCCTGCAACTAAAAATACCGGGCTATTCAACTACGCCTGGCTTAACAATCAGCTCTGCTAGAACCCCCGAGTCTGACCATGAGATACCTGATCAGCAGTACACAGGATCCAAATTTCTCGCTGAGTCAAAAATCCGAGCTGATTCTCAAATTACTAGGCATCTGGCGCAAAAGACAAGACAGGGCTTTGATGAACAACGGCAGGATATCCATCAAGCGCCTTGAGATACAGGCTCAATCCGCTATTTGTAGCTTCCTAATGCAAGCTAGAAATGGTAATGAATCCAAAGGGAACTTTTCATCTCTGCTCAGGGATCCGCAGGATTTTCTCGTATGGCATCATATGATTCTACTTTTCCTGGCTGAATTTGTACCTCGATGGTGTGGTCCTAGCTACACGATTGGTATACGTCGTGGCATACCTCCAAATTTCAGATTTGGAGCGACACACGAGAAAAAGTCATTCGAGGCCATGTGTTGGACCTGTCTTCCACGAGACAACAGGCTTCAGCTTTGAGACCGGCTCTATTGAGCGTCTTGCCTCGACAACAACCGAGTCTCAACTTGATCCTATAAGCAGCACGAAGAACCCCTACTTCTACCCCCAGCCACAATGGGAGACTCTGTTGGTGTTGCGCTGGGGTCAGGGTGATGACCACAGCACATCGACACTTGGTTCATGCATCATGATTGGAAAACAGCCATGTTGGCTTGTTAATCTGCATCCGCTTGAAGACGCCTTGAAGAGTAATCCACAGAACTCTCCATTGTTCCTCGAACACCAATCGCCGGATGACCGAAAAGCCTGTGAAACTGCTTATCACAGATATATGGCCGATCCCCGTTCCAACTTTACCCTTGGGAATATGATCGCCACATCGGAGAAAAGCACTAGGACTATGTAATCGAATAGCAGTTACTGGGAAGAAGCATTCATCGATCCACCGGCAGTCATTATGGACTGGGCTCTGCGCAGCAATAATGCCAACTACTAACTTCATACGTTATCCTACCTATCCAAGCCTCCATAGGAAACGATCGGTCCTCACCGCCATGCACTCCGCTGGAGGCGCTCCCGTCTGCTCGACCGGCCAAACGAGCGGCTATCAATGCGGGTAGATCGGCATGTGTCCTGACCTCGTCAACAAAACAATCACCGGCGCTTCATAAGACACGATGGAATGGTTTGTTGAAGAACCATATCCACACCAAAGCGCACAACACTTCACAGCGTCCGGCATCGGCGTAAGCGGAGACTCGGGCGCTGCCATAATCGATGAGAGCGATGCTTTTGTCGGACAGTTATGGGGGCGCAACAAATACTTGAAGAAAGAGCTAGGGCCGCGAATCGTGTACTTTACACCCGCGCAGGATATCTTTGATGATATTCGAGAACAGCTCTCATTGTCTGATTCGGAAACCCCGCGGCTTCCTCAGTTGGATGGCGGCTCGAATCTCCCTTCTTTGAAATTAGCCTGCGATGCTTGTCTGCTGCACCAGGAATTCCTTCGTTACGAGGGTGTGCCTTCTCCAGAATTGGACTCTGAGGACATGACGCCTTCTGAAGATGAACTTCTCACGCCGGAGGATATTCGATTACCTGATATGCGAAGGAATCACGATACCGAATCTTGCCATATTAGCTTTTCGAGCTCCGTCGATTCTTGGAAATATGAGCGAAAAATGGGAGAGTTTGGGGTAGATGATGTGTATAGTATTAAGCCACACTATACATCTGAGAGTCTGGATCTTGATTCCGATGTCTCGATGAACTTTCAGACAGAACCGTCGCGAGAAGAGAAAGGTGAGAGGCCGGGTCGTATTAAAAGGCAAGACTACTTAGCAGGCTCGTAACCTGGATAGATGAATGCTCCTTTTTTGAATTTGAAAGAATGACACGATATATTCTGCCGTGTGCATGTTCATGACAGATGTATCCAAGATGTCGGATCGGATCTTAGAAATAGAGAAGAAGTTTTCCTCTTGTGATGTCCCCACTGGGCTTTTCTAAGTCGATTTTTGCGAAGAAGTTTCTTCGGGATGGGATAGAGTAAGAAATACGAACCGGTGCCTGAGCTGAGCTGAGCCGAGCCGTGGAATCGTCATCCAAAGCGAAACGGTGTCAAAGTGGTTGCGAAGAGGTAGAACCTACTACCGTATACTATACACCTTAGGTCTGCTTCTTAGGGTGAGATAAAAGAGCACTCGGATAAGAGTTTTTCTCCTTATTTTTTATATTCAGCTGTGCATCCAAATAAGATTACATGTAAGTTTATTACTAAAGGCTAAATAAAATATAGGTAGTAGGTAGCAGACACACTTACTAATCATTGATAACTCTGCACCCTATAACAGAAATCAAAAAAAAAAAAAGGAAAAAGAGATATAGCAGACGCCATGAAAAAAAAAGAAATCTCTAGCACTCCAAGTGGGACTCGAACCCACAGCCTCGAGATTAGAAGTCTCGCGCGCTACCATTGCGCCATTGGAGCTGAGTCAACGGTCGTTGCTGAATAATTTGACAACTTTTTGGCTTATTTTAAATTATACGCCCATCAATTATTGTGGGCGGAACTTCGGCGCATGTTCATGTGTTGTGGAAAATTATTGGGTTTCACTGATATCGCTTAGCAGGTGGCGTGACTTTATCTTAGCAGATGCAGAGTCAGAGCTTTGTATAGTGTAAATGAAAACAATTTATTTAATCTCAATCGTAATGGCAGATATATTAGAACTCTCTACATGTCTAGTTATTAATAAATAAACTTCAATCCTAGTTCTATAAAACCATTCTAATTTACCTTTTCTAGACTTCGGACGATTTGGCGTAACTGTTTTTAGTATACTACTTAGGTAAACAGTACTACCGAAATCTATTCGAGTAAGTTACTATTATAGTATATAGAGTTTGTATGCTAAATATCAGCATTGCTTAGTTATAAAGAGTATAGTTTCTAACTGAATTGACTAAATATCCGCCCGAGTAGACCACAGTTCAACTACATATTTCCAATATCTCTCCGTATCACGCATCATAGACTGGATGTGAGGCATGTCGCTCTCTTTCAAGAGCTGTGCATTCACGCCCTGAGCCTCAGCTTCCCTCGCATGCTCCTCTATCGGGCCCGGTAACACGAGCTTATCTACTGCACTATATACATACAGCCTGCATGCATTTTTGTCAACCACGGTCCAGTCATTCAAATACATCCTCGCCTTGTCTAGCATATGTTGTTGTCCGAAAATGGCACGGAAAACAGCCCACGGCCCCAGCCACATGGCCATCAAAGCCGCTCCAGGATACCAGAGAAGACCTTTCGGAAGAGCGGTGGCAAAACCATGGAATCCTGTCACGAGACTAGACTCGCCTGGGGCAGAGTCTAGGATGATAGCCTTGACGGGGAGGACATTGCCTGTTTCTTCCTTGTATAGGCGACAGACATCCGTGAAACCAACTGCACCGCCGTTGCTGACGAGATGAACGAGGATCTTCTTTTCTGGAGCCGGGTCGCTGTTGATGGCTGCAACGACGGGTTTGACGAGATTGTGGCGCGTCTCGTTGCTCGTGTAGATGAAGAACTCAATGAGCGACTGCACTGCTATGATGCGGGCGCTGGGATAGAGAGTGTGGTAATGGCTGTAGAATGATTTGAGATAACGGGATTTCGGACCTACTCCCATCCACTGGAAGAAGATGATGGTCGTGGGATCATTATTGCTATAGCTCGCCGGCGCATCTGGTGGAGTGTAAAGTGATACCAACGGGTTTAACCGTGTGAACTCGAGTTCTGGTACGACGACGTTGCTCGTGGACATGATAGATGCTTTTGCTTGTGATGTGAAAAACCAGCGCTGATGAGCGTGTTATATATACGCCGTATACAACGTTGGAATTCGCGAATACGCGCGTACCCCTGTTCCATGATCAACCTCGTGATTAATAGGGTAGTATTGTTCAAACATCTTTGGCAAATTGTGTGAATTCTAGAGCAGATACGTCGATATGTATGGATTGAATTAAAATACCTGCAGATGTCTTAATAAATCTCTACCGCGAGGAAGTAGCTAGTCTAGCCGCTAAGCTCAAGCCACGCCATGTGATAGTCACCTGACACTAAATGCTTCATAAAGTCGGCGGTTGAAGTTGAATAGTTGTGTTCTCCTCTTATATGTAAATCTTTCAAAACAGCTGTGGTATATAAAAGAGCTTGAACTTTAGTATAATTTGATGATAAACATTCAAGTATAAGTGGTAGGAAAGATTAGCTCCTTCTCCTATCCACTGCTGACCAAATACATTATGCATTCTATGCTATTCTAGGAACGACTAGCTAGATTGTGGCTCTGATTTGGGGAATTTGACCTTACCTTACTCTTGAATGTTGATAAAGAGCCATGGTTTCCCCGGACTTAAAATCTTATGGTCTCTCCAAGAATCTTTAGCTTGTTAGGAGCAACTGCCGTGTTTCTCATAATATATTTTACATTCAAGGAGAAAGGAAATTCCCGTCACCGCACTTCTAAAAGTCCTTTTGTATGTAGAACGGCAGTTGAGGTCGAAGCATTTGCCGAACCTTAACAACCAAATCCCCGTGATCTCCCCACAACCTCATCCCAACTGCTCTTTCCCGTCAGCGCAGCCATGCACCTGCTACGATACATCCGCTGAACACACGGGAAGTAAATTCAAATAATACACTAATACCTGCGATATATTGCAACGGCATGTACTTCCTGCGATCTGTACACTTACAACCTATCGCCTCTTTCCTTACCCCGCCACTTGGGACGCCACACCTTTCGCGGGGTCTCCGCCATTCCGCGGCCGGCTTATCCATCTTCCAGAGCAGTGCAGTGCATCTCCAATCATCTGTAATGTAATACTACGACAGCGGGCCTTATTCCCAATACGTAGCTAAAGCCCCTTGCTGCCAGACAGATGGTCAGCAAAAAGTCAGGAAGCTGAGGCACAAGCCTTCTTCAGCTTCGTCAGATACTTTTCGGCAGCTCTCTTATACGCTGTCGAGATTGCCTGAAGTGTACAGTTGCAATGCCGACGTCTACTGTAGACTCCCTTGGGGTGGACCTCTAGGTGCAAAGCTTCGGGCTGGATGTGGACTCGAACTGCATGAGGATATCCGTCTCTCCCGTGGCTGCTTCGTCATTCATCTGTCGTTCCTTCCTCTTGGGACGAAAGTGGAGTAGTGGAGTAGATGGATGTTTTTTCACTTATACTCCCCATGTTCCCCAGTTCATACTCTCAAGGCCTCGTCAACATACAATGCTGAAAATGCCTCATTGATTGTATCCCTCTTCTTGTCTCGTCCTTATACCACATCACCATCATGGTGGCAGAAACTTTACTCGAAGCTGTGGCGCGCAACTGGCCAGTCGTTCTAGTAGTTGTGCTGGCCTCGTATCTGATTAAGAACCGATTTACGCGGGGTCTCAACAGGTACCCAGGACCATTTCTAGCATCAATCACAGACTGGTGGAGATTTTGGATTGTCTACAAGAGAAGACCTGAAGTTGAGCATATCAAGTTACATGCCAAACTCGGGGATGTCGTTCGACTAGGACCCAATGATCTCTCTTTTGCAAACCCGCAAGCTTTGAAGGATATCTATGGACTCAACAAGGGATTCATTAAGGTGAGTTATAAGACCGACGGGTCAGGAAAAGAACAATTCCTGACAATGATTGCAGTCAGAGTTCTACCCCGTGCAACAATCAGTAGCAAATGGACACCGTCTGCCCTCCCTCTTCAGCTCAACATCTGAGCCGTTTCATGCACAGCTTCGCCGAAGCGTCAACAGTGCTTTTTCCATGTCAACACTGATCCAGTATGAACCTTTCGTCGATTCCACCACTGAGCTCTTCCTCTCCCAAACAGACAAGCTCTATGCCGAAACTGGGGAAGCATGTGATTTCTCAAGGTGGCTGCAATTCTACGCATTTGATGTCATTGGCGAAATGACATATAGTAAACGCCATGGTTTTCTTGAAGAAAACAAAGACATTGATGGAATTATAAAATATCTCGGTGGTCTATTCGACTACGTTGCACCAGTACATATCCACACAATTACTATACACAGCTCCAAAATCCCAACTAACACACACTAGATCGGCCAAATACCCTTCCTCGATTTGCTCTTACTCAAGAACCCGCTCTACCTTCTCGCCGCAAAATACGGCCTGATAGATGCCACCTTCCCCGTGGCCCGCTTCGCGCAACAGCGCATGGCGGAACGCTACCCAACCACTAAGGACCCGTCAATTCTCCCCACCACTACATCTCCTGCCCAGCAATCACAACCAGACCTCCTCTCCAAATTCGTGCAAGCAAAAGACTCGCGCCCAGAATTCATGACCGACTCGCTCGTCACGACCATGGCCGTCAGCATGGCCTTCGCCGGCTCCGAAACGACCGCCATAAGCCTAAGCTCCGTCTTCTACTTCCTCCTGCGTCACCCCGCCTGTCTTGCACGTCTCTACGAGGAGTTGGATGGCAGGGCTACGGAGGGCTATTTTAGGGACTGCGAAATGGGTGTTGTGACCTGGAGCGAGAGTCAGGGATTACCGTATCTTGATGCGTGTATCAAGGAATCCTTCCGCTTGCACCCAGCGCCCGGCCTCCCTCTCGAACGCATCGTCCCGCCGCAAGGCGCGCACATCGCAGGGCACTTCGTGCGCGGAGGTACCGTTGTCGGCGTTAATGCCTGGGTTGTGCATCGCAGGACTGAGATCTTCGGGGACGATGTCGAGGTGTTTAGACCCGAGAGGTGGTTGGTGGATCAGGGCAAGGATAAAGCAGAAGAGGAAAGCAGGATTAAGGAGATGGGCGCTACGATGTTGCATTTCGGCATGGGGGCTAGGACGTGTATCGGGAAGAACATCTCGCTACTAGAGGTTTATAAACTTGTGCCTACTGTTTTACGGCGCTTTGAGGTATGTCTTCCCCCCTTTATTCTCTCCCCATCCCTTTTTTTATATTTTAGAATATGTATGTGTATGTGAGGGTTACGAAAATGCGAGAGTGCTAATGTGATATGACACTTTCTAGGTTCGTCTTGAGGATCCGGATAAGGAGTGGACAGTTCATAATGCTTGGTTTGTAAGGCAGCTGAACTTCCGTACTACGTTCCGCCGCAGGGAAATCACACAGCCGATATCGTGATACCCTACCTACCTATCAGGCACGCATGAATAAAACGTAAAATTGGAGTCCTAGATGTAAGACGAGAAACGGGATGATACTCGATGTCTTGGACGGAAAGGAAAGGAAAGGAAAGGCAAGGAAAGGCAAGGAAAGGCGAACAGGAGAGACAGGCGGTGTAAAATGAGTATATGCAGCGTTTTCTTTTTTTCTTTTGGATACAGTATAGTATCTATAATGGATAAAAACGTCGAATTCACACTATATGCAGCTTTCCTTCCGTGTATGCACATACCCTCTGTCTCTGTCACCATCCGCCTATAAGATGCATTTCTATTTCCCCTGCCACATGACCTGTGCCCGTGTAACCTCCACGGCATGTCATGATCCGGACCAGAATACACACCCCCTCCTCCTTACTCGATGCGTATATCGGGGCGCACTTCATTGGCACACGGTACTCGAGAGTCTGGGGTAGGGTTCGGGAATGAAAGATCCCTTGTCTTGCCTTGCTAGAGCCTAGAGTAGTTTGGGAGATGAGGGAGGGACATGATGTAACGGAGGGAGGCTGAACAAAGAAAATGGGAATTGGCTTTGTGAGAGTTGAGTGTGAATTGGGTTGCAGGAAAGGCAAGGCGGGGTTCTTTCTTTCTTTCTTTTATATAGAGGTATCTTGGGTAGATGAGCGTGTTTGTTTGTTCGTTCGTTTGTCCTTCCTGTCCCAACTCCAAGGAATCCATCCTTCTACATCGTTTATCAATTCTCGTCGACTTCAACGCGTGATACTAACACTGACATTGACATGAAACAAGAAATAAGAAACGTAGGCGCTGAATCGAAAATGTTCTCCTATCGCTTTTTACTTACCGTTGGCTTGGCTGCGGTTGCGACTGTTGTGTGCGCCAAGGATATTGATATTGATGTTGGTGAGGAGGGCATTAAGTTCGAGCCCAATACTACGACGGCTGATGTGGGTGATGTGTGAGTTTCATCTTCTTCCCCAGGACTGGAGTTGAATTGATGGGATGCTGATGAGGTTAGTTTGAACTTCCACTTCTACTCGGCGACCGGACCGCATTCTGTCGTATCGGGCGCCTTTGATAGTCCTTGTGCACCTGCCGCCAATGCTTTCTTCTCTGGGCTTATTGATGGTAATGATGCTGGTGTAAGTCCCGTCCTAAACCAGAGGAAATTCAATTCCACAGACCCTGTTTGTACTTGGAGAAGAGTAGAGAAGGGAAGAATGAGGAGAATGCTTCGAAACTAACATGAATTGATATAACAGAATACAACCTACATCGTCAACGTAACCTCTACCGACCCCATCTGGTTTTACTGTTCCGCACACAAGCACTGTCAAGGCGGCATGGTGGGCGTCATCAACCCTCCTTCTACAAACGACACCCTCGAAGCATACGCAAAAGCTGCTTCGAGCGTGTCTGCGGCTTCTGCGCCGAGTGCGCCTGTGGGAGTTGTTGCGACTACCATCTCGGCTACATCGCCTACGGATACTTCGAGTATGGATATGAGTATGGGCATGAGCTCCAGCATGAGTATGAGTGCTAGTTCTGCTCTGAGCTCTGCTACGAGTGCTGCCGCGAGTAAGGCGAGTTCTGCTGCCTCCAGCGCTGCGTCTGCGTCGAAAACTAGTAAATCGGGAGCTGAGGCCACAGCTGGGGTCAATATTGGATTAGGTGCTGTTCTTGGTGGCATGGTTGCTCTTTTGGCTTAGGCTGAAGGATTGTGTAGAGGGCAAACAAGCATGATGATGAACGTTGATATCTGATGAACTTTGGCGTAGGTGCTTTTGGGATCGTGTGGAGCCATAAGTATGTAATTTAGCAAACCGCGAGGAATTTCACGCAAATGATACATCAAATGTTTACGAGCGGTGTTCATTGTGATTTCGTAGTGTTTAGTATTTTAAACGAGGGAAAGATTCGTTTGCATCCGAAGAACATGAAGCGATTTTGGCGGGGGAAGAAAAGGACTCCACCAGACTCCAACGCGTGACTCAACAACCCCACCAAAAATATTTACGAAAAGGACTCATCACCACCACCACATCAACAAACAAATTGCTGAGACTAGTAAATACCAACGCAATCATGGCGGACGAAGTAACTGCACCTGCACCTGCAACTGCATCTGCTGCTCCCACCGAGGCCCTGGCAAACCTCCATCTGGACGAAGTCACCGGCGAAAAGGTCTCCAAGTCTGAATTGAAGAAGCGCCAGAAGCAACGCCAGAAGGACGAGGCAAAGAAGGAGAAGGAAGCTGCAGCTCCCCCCAAGCCCGCAACCACCAAGAAGAGCAATGCTGAGGCTGACGAGAAGGAGCTGAATCCAAATGTAGATCCAAACCCCTCAACCCCTCATCGCGGGCAATTGATACTGACTGCGGGGTAGCAATATTTCGAGATTCGTTCGCGCACAATTAACAAGCTCCGCCAGACCAAGAACCCAAACCCATACCCTCACAAGTTCCATACAAACTACGATGTGAGAAATTTCGTCGAGCAATATGAGTCCCTCAAATCTGGAGAGCACAAGAAGGAAGTTGAGATCAGGGTTGGAGGCAGAATTTACAACAAACGTGCGTCGGGAAACAAGCTCGTCTTCTACGATATCAGAACAGAGGGTGTCAAGGTACAGGTAATGTGCCAGGCTCAAGAGGCCAAGGAGGGCGGAGTTCCATTTGAGGAGCAACACGAGCATTTGCGACGAGGAGACATCATTGGTATTGTCGGCTACCCAGGACGAACTGCACCCAAGAAGCAAATAGCAGAGGGCAAGGAAGGAGAGCTTTCTATTTTTGCTACTGAGATTGTTCTCCTCACACCATGTCTGCACCAACTCCCGGACGAGTACTATGGATTTAAGGATCAAGAGCAAAGACATCGCAAGAGATATCTGGATTTGATCATGAATGAGCCAACACGGAACGTCTTCCTCACTCGCTCCAAAATGGTCACCTATATTCGCAAGTACTTTGACGAGCAAGACTTCGTAGAAGTCGAAACACCAATGATGAACCCCATCGCAGGAGGCGCAACAGCCAAGCCCTTTGTTACCCACCACAACGACCTCAACATGGACATGTTCATGCGTGTGGCTCCAGAACTTTACCTCAAGATGCTTGTTGTTGGTGGTCTAAACCGAGTCTACGAAATGGGTCGCCAGTTCCGCAACGAAGGCATCGACCTAACCCACAACCCAGAATTCACAACCTGCGAATTCTACATGGCCTACGCCGACGTCTACGACATCATGGACATGACCGAGGAACTGGTCTCCGGCCTCGTAAAGCACGTTACGGGCGGCTCAACCACCAAATTCCACACCCAGCACGGCGAAGAATATGAAGTCAACTGGGCAGCACCCTGGCGACGCGTAGAGATGATCCCTGCGCTCGAAGAAGCAACCGGCGAGAAATTCCCACCGGGTGATCAGTTGCACACGCAGGAAACAAATGAGTTCTTCAAGCGCGTGCTCAAGAAGATGAAAGTCGACTGCTCGCCCCCTCTCACCAACGCCCGCATGCTGGATAAACTGGTCGGCGAATTCATCGAGGAAACTTGCGTGAACCCAACCTTTATCACCGGCCACCCGCAGATGATGTCCCCGCTCGCAAAGTACCACCGCGATCTCCCCGGTCTCTGCGAGCGCTTCGAGGCCTTTGTGTGTAAGAAAGAAATCGTGAACGCGTACACCGAACTGAACGACCCCTTTGATCAGAGATTGAGGTTCGAGGAGCAGGCTAACCAGAAGGAGCAGGGTGATGATGAGGCGCAGATGATTGATGAGAACTTCTGCCAGAGTTTGGAGTTCGGCTTACCGCCTACGGGTGGCTGGGGAATGGGCATCGATCGCTTGGTCATGTTCTTGACGGATAATTACAGCATCAAGGAGGTCCTGGCATTCCCGTTTATGAAGGAGGATACGAGTAAGAAGCCGGAGAAGTTGGCCGCTGAGGAGGTGGGCATTGAGGCTAAGGCTGAAGAGGGTATTCGTAAGTCCCCTCTTTCTTCTTCGAACTCAGTTTGTGACTTTACTAACCTGTTCATGTGTAGCACATAAATGATTGGTGAATTTACGGGAGGCCAGCTTTATATGAAAGACTAGGTGCCCATTCATTCCCGAGCTGTTCGTGGAGATCAAGTTTTTGAAAAGCTCTTGTACTTTTCACTCGACTACCTACACTGAACAACAAACAAAATACCGCGTTCTGTCTGTCGAATTACCCCAGAAATGTGCGAGCGATATAGAAATCAATCAATAGAAGAATAAAAAAGTTCATTCGTCCGAGGTCATCTTGCTGCTAGTTATTACAGAGTAGTGATTCTTTCTTCATTCCCTTCATTCGTCTCTCCACCCAACCAATGATATAAAATCCATGCCATGCTATGCCATTCCAGTCAACTATCGAACACCCATACTATATACAACACCAACACCACCCACCATCTACACATTCTTGGGCGCGCTATGCACCTTGCTAACATTTTTCACCTCCCTCTTCTTCACCCCCTGCACAGCCACCCTCTTAGCAACCATCCCCGCCGTGCGCGCCGGAATCCACGTCCTCGACCCAAGCACCAGCACCTGCGTCAACAGCGCCAAACTCCCCGCCTGATGCGCAGCCGCCAGACCCGTAGGCACAAGATAGATTAATGTCGAGATCCCCAGCGCAACTTGCAAACACACCACATGCACAACGCCCAACATGCCCTTGCTACACGCAACCGGCATCGCGGCCCTGACCTGCCTATTGAAGCGCGAGTATGCCCACAGCCCTACCACGGCTGCGAACGTCGTCGTAGCCAGGATCCGGTGGTCTAGTTGCACTGTCGACGGGTTCTCTAAAATGTTGCGCCACCAGATGTCGCTGCCGTCTTCCTTGCGCGAGTAGAAGGCGCTGAAAAGCTCGGATTTCGGCGGCGTGAGCCCTAGCCCCATTTTGGGGAACTCGTTGTATATCATGCCTGCATCTAGACCTGCTACCAGGCCGCCCGACATGGCAGTTGTGAAAACGAGGAGTGCAAGCCCGGCTACGCTTTTGCGGAATGGTGAGAGTGCGGGGGAGTTCAGGCGCGCGAGGTCTTGTGCTGCTTGTTGCGGGTTAAGGAGCAGGGCGTTGGTGCGCAGGATAGCGAGTCCGTTCCAGAACATCGCTGTGTAGCAGACGAAGGCTGCGCCCAGGTGCGCCGTGAGCCGGTATTGGGAGACGCGCGGGTGCGAGCCAGGCGCGAATAAATCATCCTTGAGTCCGCTCTTTACCATGTACCAGCCTAGGAACCCCTGGAAGGCTATCAATCCGCTGATGCCCAGAAGGCGGACACTCATGTTCTTGGAGACGCGGCGACGGGCGACGAAGTAGATGGCGGGGAGCACGAAGGAGAGTCCGACGAAGCGCCCCCACAGACGGTGCCCCCATTCCATGAAGTAGATTTGCTTGAATTCCGAGAGCGTCATGTGGGGGTTTAGGAGCGCGAATTCGGGGGATGCCCGGTATTTGCTGAATTCAGAGTCCCAGTCCGCTTGGGAGAGAGGGGGGAGGGATCCGGTTACGGGTTTCCATTCTGTTATACTGAGTCTGTAACACGCCACTTATTACTATCGTTCGTTTTAGATTGGATTGGGAAGGAAATACCCAGATTCGGTGAGTCTTGTCAAACCACCGAAGACAACAATTCCGAATACACTGCCCGCGGATGCTAAAAGCCAATATGCGACTGCCTTTGAAGATGTCTCGGGGAAGAAACTCTTTTTTCCCTTGGCTTTTGCTTGTCCTTCAGCGGCAATCTTCTGGCTCGTTTTCTGTCCTTTGGGATTTAATATTGATTTGCTTGAATTACTCAACTGAGAGGCAGACCCATGTTCTGGTAGAGCAGTTGTAGAGCTGTTGAATCGTATATTTCGCGAGAGGTTTGCTTTTATAGGAAGTTGAAGTCTTGGACGACTGTATTTTAGACATTGGTGGCAGATGAAGAAATCTTTGGATAGACGCGGTGCTGCCCGACGCAGCCCGGGGATAAGTGAAGCCATTGAGAGGAACTGTAGACTTGGGGAAAGGTTCAAGAGAAAGTTGAAGATGGGTCGATAATGAAGATATAGATTATGTAAGCATCGGGGTGTATAACACTATATAATCAGGAGATAGTCGGGCCGAGGATTTTCCGATGCCGACTGGGGTCCAAACACAAACGCGCAAGCTGGCTCGAGCTCGAGGCTGAGTAGTTGGATTAAACATTAACCACACATAAAGTGGACAACACCACGCAATTATCTGGATGTCATATAAGTAAACACATACTTATTATATCCCCAATGTCCACCGCCTAATCATCCCATATGTTTTCCCTTCGAAACAACGAAACTTTCCGTCCCGCCCTGCAATACCTCCTCAGTGCTGGAAAACCTCGCGCAAACCACTACACGCACCAGAAGAGCAGCTCTTCAGGGAGCATTGACTCGGACAGCGACGCTCCCCGCGCGAGAATGAATCCCAAGAACTCGACAGGATTCCGATCTACCTCGATCCCCCTAATAAGCATCTCCCGCTCGCCATCCCCCTATGCGCGATCACCCTCGAATCCAGCCTCAGATACAGACGACGATGATTGGGGCGATGGACGCTCCTCATCACGGCGCCCCTTCCTGCCCTCGGACGGCTACAAACTCACTGGCTGGCGAGCCTTGCTATACGGCGGTGGATTTGGACAATGGCTGTTCACAACACAGTCAGGATGGGCAATCTACATTGGCGTGCTGGTGTTCTGGCTGGGAGGCTGTCAGATTGGCTTGACCATCATGAATAGAATAATCCTCTGGAGTGGGTACCTCCAAGATAACTACACATCGCACACGAAGCTGATGGTTTTAATAGCGGGGGTTTACAAGTTTCCATATCCTTTAACAACGACACTGATCGAGATGCTATTGACACACTGCTGGATCCTACTCTCCGCGTATATCACCAGATGGGTTAGCCCGTGGCTTACTAGTGCCGGTGTTTCATCCATGATTTCGCCCTCGAAACCTCTACCGACCTCTTCTCCAGGCTTTCGAGGTCAGCAGAAGAATTTGGGGTTCATTGGGTCGATCGCAAGGTGGACGTCTGGCTTCTCGGGGGGTATTGCTGGTGGGGGACTTTTCGAATTTGAATGGCCCGTGGTCAAGCAGTGCTTACCAGTAGCCATCATATTCGTTGCTAAAGTTTCCCTCTCGAACCTCTCCTTCGCCTATGCCCAACTCACCATCTACACACTCGCCCGCGTGGGAATAGTCCCCCTCTCCCTGCTCTTCACAGCCTTCCTAACAGGCGCATCCCACAGCGTCTCCACGCTCTCCTCAACTCTCACGGCCACTCTCACACTACTAGTAGCAACAATGCAGACTAATGTCCGAGTAACATGGCAAAGCATAGTCGCCGGCGTTTTCTCTTCCATCTTCGTCGCTCTATACCCAGTCCAACTCCATCGCACGTACAAATCCCTCGTCGCCTCCCTCGTCCCCCAAGGCGAGTTAATCGGCACCTTCCCCTCCTCTTCTGCCCCAGCCGATTACTCCGGGTCCCGTGAGGAAGCGCGCGCCTACTGGCGTCTCCTGCACTACACATCTACGCTTTCCATCCTAATCTTGACCCCCATCGTCTTTCTCTCGGGCGAGATCTCAAATATAAGCCGGAACTGCTACTTCCTGGACGTCTTCTTCCATTGGTTAATGGTGTTTTGCGGGGGTTTGGGGAGCTGGGCTGTCTTCTTCAGCACAATCGCTTTGACGAGAGCCACAAGTCCGTTGACGAGCACGTTTTTGTTTATCCCGAGGGCGGCGTTCCTGCTTCCTATTATGGCCGGTTTTAAGATGCCTAGTTATGCCTGGATTGGGATCGGGATGTGTTGGGCTAGTTGTGCGTGGTTTTTACTGGGGAGGAGGAGAGGGGGGAGACCGCTGGAACGGTTACGGTGATGAACCAAAGTCTGGTATAAGCGTATATTAGGGTTTGGAATTTTAGGGCGTTGTAAAACGATTGCTGTATACAGCGATTCGAATATAGACCTTGCTAGACATAGCCATATTAGATACTGCTTGACTGTGTTGCTTTTCGGCCAAGTGGCGTTGACTCTTCAGTTTCTATTTAAATGTTATGTTCTTTGTCTAAAAATTTGGTTCAAAGGTAGATAGATGTCTTGCTTTTTGATGTCTGTTGTTGAACTAGTTGGTCTTGTTACTTTTGTAGCACTTGGTGTCAAAAGCTTCTGATATTATTAATATGTATTCCCTGCCGAGATCTACGAGCCTTGAGTGAAGCTCGCTAGAGGCGCTTTATGTGGGACATAGACGAGAAAACGACGTAAATGTTTTAAGAGTGGCTACGAAAGGCATTTCAGATTATTCTCTCATTCTTGCCTATCAATGCGCTTCAACAGGTTCCCTGACCTCAGCTTTAATATCCACAATGTTTTTCTCAACAGGGGCCAATTGAGGTTTCTTCTCTATAAGACCCTCAAACTTCTCACGAAGAAGCTCATACTGGGCCTTCCATTCCTTCGTATGTCCTTCCGCTGCTTTCCCTCCAGCAGCAACTATTCCCGGATTTATCCATGCCAGCAATTCGTCCACATACTCGGCGTCCTTTCCCCTCAAACTGTGGAAAGATCTCCCAGATCCTTTCTGTCCAAGCTTTCTAAGATACTCTTCCCTCATGTCTTCCTCGCTTGGAGTATTGGCTTTCCCCGAAAACACAGCTGCAACCGCGATGGCTTGAAAATCAAATAGGGAAAAGGTTGCAATGTGGTACGGCACGCCGATAAAAGCTAGTGTGGGATCGGGGATGTAGAAAATGTCTTTGTGTAGGTTATGCATTTGCGTGCCGTCTGTTACGAGCGCTGTTTTGTCTGCCTCGGATGCTGGCACAGAGTCGCGATGGTAGGGGGAGAGGAAGGGGAATGCACAGTGGTATCCAGTACAGATGATGACTCTATCGATATCGCTGATAACTTGACCGTTGACTAAGGTTATTGTGTATAGAATGGCTTCATTATCGAGAATAGGACCAGAGTGTTGCCCAAGATCGAACGACTTTATTTCGGAAATACGTTTTACACTCGGAGGCAGCATCGAAATTGGGTGATCGAATTCACCACCCCGTGTGGATTGGTATATAGTCTTTGCAATGCCGTCGAGCTCTTTTGCGATGTCGAATGATGAGGTGCTACCGCCTATCAAAAGCACGGACTTGGAATCAGAGGTTAGCTGACACCAATAGCTTCTCTTGAAGGATGTCAATATACCTTGCCCTCAAACCCTCTAGTACTCCGGTATCTTTTCGAATGCTGTATTCTCGATGGCCATGCTTTCTTCCAACCTTTCAATCCGGGAATGGCTGGAACTTTCGGCGCGTGATAGTGGCCAGTAGCTACAATTACGGCATCGAACTCCTAAACAGTCTCAGCATGCACGTCACCTTATAATCACTCCATCACATACCCAATCCCGCGTCTTCTTCTCGAGTGTATCAGCATCTAAAGTTACAGTCCGAACGTCCCAATACTCCCCCTTCTTTTCCACACGCTCAACTTTCGTATTATACTGCGTAATCCCTTCAACTCCCGTCTTGGCCGCCGTGTCTTGTATATATTCCGCTAGCACATTATGTCTAACGATCTGTTCTGTCCCAGGAGGCCAGGAATTAAGTGTTGTTTTCATGAGCCCGGTTGGAACGTTGTTTGAGAGTAATTCATAACACGGACTAGTAATTACTTTAGCTCTGCCTACTACAGTTCATTTTCGAAGATGCAAAAAGTTTCAATATTACTTACCCGGGAGGAGCATGCAAGATCTTTAAATTCTCACTATTCTCCCTCACATCCTCACTCGTGTGCCTAGGAACACCGCGCTTACTGTCGACGTCTTCGTAATACGCAGTCTCTGCTATCGATGGTACGAGTGATGGATATGCAGGTTCTGGCGCAACGCGTGCATCAAAGACCCTGTGGACGCTCTTGTTAGTACATGTTGATTCTTCCTTTGGCGTGAGAAGGCCGATGAATTGGGGGGTATATACCATACTCCGCCAGCTTTACCCGTTCGTTCGAAGACTGTCACTTCTAGTCCGGCGGTTTTGAGATGGGCTGCTGCGGATACACCGGATACACCGGCGCCTATTACCGCGATACGCTTTATTGGATGGGCCATTTCTTGGTGTACTGTAGGTACTTTGAGGTTTGAGGAATCGAGGATGGTAAGGTGGCTTGTCACGACGTATGAGTTGGTCACTTGTATTTAGATTTTATGGTTGTTATAAGTACGGAGTTACGCGTTTTTAATATAGCATACCTACTACCATCATGCTAGTTATGGTTTGTATCACCTGTTTGTTATCTACGCTGCGAAGTTATAGTCGGTGTTTGAGAGGTGCGTAAAGACGTGCTCGGCTAGAACAGGGGTAGTGGCGGGGTAGAATGCATAATATTGCATGGAACCCCACTTCTTTCGATGGCAGAATATATAAGTAAGAAGGCATCATATGTGCATAGGCTGCTGAATAATGTCCTGTTCATAAGGTTCGACTTGTCAATATCTAGAGAGAAACATTAATTTGAAGTTGTGCAGAAACTTAGAAACTAAGAAGTATCTTATGGGATATGGGAGAAAGGAAATATAGTAGTAGATATCATTTTCTAGTTTGAATTACCACTGCTCTATAACCATGTGCTTTTGTTCCGAGTCTTCCAGCATGGACCTGTTACGTCATTGAAGCCTGTAAGCACGCAGCTTTTATCTGCAAAGGACACCCCATTATGTAGCTACTTGCTCTAGCCAGACAGACATTATTCTAACTGGTGCTTTGTAAACATCCCGCTGCCCGATTATCCTAATTAGTGCCTTGATAAGTCGATATAAACACCATAAGCCGTCCCTATAAGTGTTTCCCATTCTGCTTTGCACCTTCCCATCAGGTCTCAATAAAACGTCACCTGATTAGGGTTTCCCAGAATAACTAGATACAAGCCAATATAGTAAGGTTACCTCCTGTGAATAGTATACAGTCTTCACCATGGCCCCATCAGCAATCGACCCCCCAGCAGCGATTCTGCCTTCGATCAAAGACACCAAACAGTCAGTAACATACCAACTTCCCATCCCCGAGCCAACACGTCGACGTCTCGAGGCAGCAAACGTCGATCTCACCAATGGATATCCATACACACCACTACAGCCGCTCTACGTCCAAGATGTTGAACAAATCCGCAACGAACCCCGCGACTTCACTGATGCAGGCAGCCGCGCAGATCCCGAGAAAAAGGCTCTTTTCAATGCTGCAAAGCAGGTTATCCATCTTACCAATCATATAGGGACTGAGATTGTGGGGTTGCAGCTGAAGGACTTGACGGATAAGCAAAAGGATGAGTTGGGGTTGTTGATTGCGGAGAGAAGTGTGGTGTTTTTTCGCGATCAAGATCTTTCGCCCCAAGAGCAAAGGTCTCTGGGGGAGTATTATGGAGAGGTTGAGGTACATGTAAGTACCAATTTTGCCCATGGACGGAAAGAAATCCGCAGTCTGACAACTCCATTACAGCCTCAAGGATCACATGTCCCTGGTCTTCCCGGAGTATTCACTATCTGGCCTGACCTGTTTGCAAAGCAGAGGAAAGCAGATTTCCGTCACCCTGGCGGCGCTTCAATGTGGCACACGTCAGACATTCTTGTCTTCATACGAATATCTATCTGACTTAAAGCAGTGACCTGGTCTACGAACGACAGCCCGCAGGCGTCACCCATCTCCACAACGACACTGTGCCAAAACTAGGCGGCGACACTTTATGGGCAAGTGGCTATGCAGCATACTCCAAACTCTCACCCGACTTCCGCAAGTTCATCGACGGGAAACAAGCCGTATTCCGCTCTGCTAACGAGTATCTTGACCGCAATGATCCAACGGCAGGTCCAAGACCTGTAGAGCGAATCCATCCCATTGTACGCGTTCACCCTGCAACGGGATGGAAAAGCTTGTTTGTAAACCGTGTTTGGACTGGCAAGATCGTAGGTTTGGATAAAGCAGAGAGCGATGTGATATTGAAATATTTATTTGATGTTTATGAGAATAATGTTGATATCCAGGTGCGGTTTAAATGGACGCCTGGAACTTCGGCGCTATGGGATAATAGGTATGCTTTTGTATCTTCTTCTGCACGAAATGAAATGGGAATTGACATGTATAGGATTACCATCCACAATGCGAGTTGGGATTACGAAGGGACGGAAGAGAGGCATGGGACTAGAGTCACATCATTGGCAGAAGTGCCGTATTTTGATGAAAAGGCACCAACGAGAAGAGAAGCTTTAGGATTGAATGATAATTAAGTAGAGTGTGTAGCGCTGCCCTTTCAATTTCTGGGTATTTAAGTTCTAGTAGTTGTGCGCATATGTTGAAGCTACTTAGCATTTAGTATTAGTCTGTTGGTACGCTTCTCTATTTTCCCGCACTGAATTCGTTAATTACTGCATATTAAAAGTTCTAAGCCACTTAATGAGTAGCTATAAGACATTAATTACTTTAAACCTCAATAATATCTGAGATTATTAAAAGCTAATCACAAAATCGTAACTGGTTTCATGATTTGACATGCCTCGTGTATTCGAAAAGGGGGATTATTCGCTTAATTCGAGAATAACCTGCTCGCACAACAGACTAGATTTCGACAGATATACGCACCACCTATATATATTAACGACGGTAAGCGTTTAGGGGAAAGCATAGCATCTTTCTAATAGGGATGCATGCATTCGAAGATCCGGCTGCATCGTAAAATCTCATACTATCATGTCCCGGAAGAAGAATATGCATCCTCTTAGACTCCTAGGGAATTCACTGTTCGCCGGATCTTGAAGAATTTAAAGAATATCAGTATATAAGAAGTATTGTTCTAGAGGAAGCTATATAAATAAGCCAATATATGTAGAGGATTTATGCTTGCTGTTAAAATAGCGGCGCGCTAGATCATAATAACCCTATAGCAATGCGGTTAGGGCTTGGTTATGGCCCTGAAATAAAATGACAATCTCTTCACATTTTGCTTCGCTACAAGTTTAGAAGCAACGATTCCAAACTAGGTTCCTGCCCCCCCTCGCCCCCCAAAGTAACTTTGATATCTATCGTGCCGCGTGAAACAATATCTAATTCCGACTTTTTCCAAGATACCGACTTTAATAAGGGACCCATAAACACTTAAACAGCTTCCCCGAATATCAATCCAGGATCATTTTTCCACCATCGTCTCTACCATCTTTATGCCTGCCTACCTATTAACATCCATCTCATCAAGTGCAGGAGACAAACCGAAAACAATTTTTACTTACATGACACATCTGCATTTCGCGAATTCTTCCGGGCAGCCTTTCAGCACGAGGTCACATCCGAGACATCTTGTGCCAGCATACCAACAGGCTTCGGCCACCTCATAATTGCTCTTATCGGGGTCAAATGATTGGCACAGTAGCCAGCGTCTTGGGAAGAGGGCATCGGGTTTGCCAAGGGGGCCTTCGCGGCATTTGGTTTGGGCGGCTTGATCCGCAGCGAGGATGGAGGTGCTGAGTGTGAGTAACAGGGCTGGTTTGGTTAGATTGGCTTTATGTTTAGTGTGTAGAGAAGGGGGCTTACTGATGGTTGTGAAGAACTGCATGGTGGGTGATTTTGTGGACGTTTGTTGGTGAAATGTGTAGACTTGACCGTGTGGGGTTTTGCAAATGCTTATGGAAGAAGGCTGAAAGAAATGAGAATGTGGGATTCTGCGGATGCTATGAAATTATGTGTGATGTAATTATTTTGAAGTTAATATGATGAAATAAGGTACTGGTGGAAACGAGTTGTGTTATGGGCGGACTAGTTTGGTTCAGCCGTAGTGTACCAGAGAATTGGGTTCACGGGAAACAACTTCTGCATAACTTTAAATGAAGACTAAAAGGAGTAGTATGAATAAAATAATATCCTATAGTAGTGATGAATTCTTTTTAGAATATAATGTATGCTTCTATCGCATCCTACGACCTCGCGGGAGTATGTTGGTGTTCAGGTTGGTTCCTGTTTCGTAGGTATAGTTCATTAAAAGCGAGACTGGCTTCTGGACTAAATATACCCAACTCATTTTCTCTAATAAGCATGGTGATAACAAGCTAGAAAGAAATAGCACAATCACCCCAAAGGCGGGCCGTCGATATTGTAGCGCGTGAAGAAGGATGAGTATATGTGCAGATAATAACATGAAATAAGACGGGAAGAAATTCAAGGAAATAGGGAATAATAGAACACGGAACACACGGAAATGTAAAATAAGAAGAGATGAATCGGAGATTAGGAGAAATAACTAGTATTCCACATATAATAAAGTCGACAGGAATGGCAGTCAGAATGGAAAAGGAGGGGGGAGTGGAACCTATTGCGGAGGCGGGACCGGAAGAACCCGTCCACGCCGTACAGTAGTCCATTCTGGGCCAAGTGCGCGGTGAACAATCTAAGCATCTATTTATGTGACCAGAGAGTCAATGACTGGTTACTACTCAGTTGACACTTAATCGTTCTTCATAAATACACTATACGAGGCAAAATCAGCGAAGAATGTTATTACTGTTCATATATACTCCGTAAAGAGAAACTTAAGGTAAGGAATTTCTGTAGGCAAATTTCAAGTGTCATGTTTGGCGCCCCATTTGCCTTGCGTAGCATCCTGCCATTCATTGCATGTGAGAAGCTCGTTTTCGTGTTGAGATAACGAAATCAACCAACAATACTACACGAAAGAATTAATTCATGTGGCCTAAGCATTGCTTACCCCCGCTTGATAGCTTATTCTGGCCAGCAATCTGCCAAACCTAGCATTTAATATGTACCAGCAGGGATAGAGTAGAGGTACTTAGGAGCTTCCGTCCGTCTTCAGCCTGTATATAAGATACCTCCATCCGTTGAAACTAAACACACTGAGCTTTATGCCGTTTTAACAAGAGGCAACGATGGCACCCTCGCTCATCGATCGTATAAAGGAAAGGCTCAAGGGGTTGTAAGGAATCTGCAATCCGCTCTTTCCGGACGCTCATCTAACATTACCGATAGAAAATCATCGGACACGACTCCCCTCGCGCCTAAAAAAAAAGAGCCTAAAAACCCATTCGTAGATGGCGGCGGACCAGGTTCGGAAAGCGCATCTATGGGATGGAGTCCTAGCGGGTGGCCAGCGCCTGAAAATAGTAAGAAGGAGAACACCAATTGATTACGGGTGGGGACACAGGAGGTGATGGAAGAGGATGCAACGACGAATGACGGCATATGAGAACGGATTCAGAGTACAGGATATAATTGAGACGAGGAAACATTAAATGCAGGACGAGGAAGGTGACGAGGACATTTTGTTTACGAACTTTTGATTTCAGGAGATTCACGTTTGCAACAAATATCTTTTTAATCAGAGCTATTTCATTTCAACAAAGCTTCCCATACAGCCCCTATCTGATATTCAGTTCGTCTAATATCCTGATGGTCTGACTTGCATCACCTCGATTTCATCTTTTAGTCGTAAGCAGAGGTTCTGTTTAAGCCACTGCTTTACTCCATAATTTTCTTTGGTTATGTTTTATACGCTTCATTCCAAGTCCTCGAGAGACATATTAATAGGAGGACTAGCGGCTACAAATCAGAAAGTTGGAGCTGAAGTCGAGCTGAAAAGAATGTTGAGGTGAACCACTAGTCTGAAGCTTTGGGTCTCTTAATCGGAATTCATGCATCATTTTCGTATTAAGCAATTTTTTAATTTCACAAGACGTGTCTATATGTACTGCGCATTCCAAGTGACTTGACAGTCTCTATTGCTCAGATCGTGTCATGCCTCTGGCAAGAATGACCACCAACCCGTAAAGCTCATCTTGACTAGTACCCTGGATTGTTTTATGCTGGATTTGCGTTCGGTTCTAAATGTTACCTGAGGGATGGCAATGAGTTTGCTGTTGGGGTTTTGCCTCATGTTAGACGCTAGTGACAGAAGTTAAAGCTGAGAAGTCAACAGTCCGAACTCATTATAACTCCTTCGAGAAATATTCTACTTACTCAACCCAAGTGAATGAAAGATCTGTGGCTTCATATGACTAAGCCTAAGCTTGTCCTTTTCGCTTAGGCGGAGCTCAGAATTCAACCTCTTCCTCTTGGCTTTCTACCAAACTTTAACTTGGTGAATTAGCCTAGCACGACTGCACATCGGTGCTAAACACAACTCCAACATCTTGGTTATCTCCACTTCCTCCCAGTATGTGCCCCTGTCAAACAAAGCACTTTCAATTTATGTCTGATATTAACAAGTACAGATTTAAGAGAGCTCCATCCCTCGTGTCGACAACCACCTCAAATCCTCAAGAACACGCCATGTCTGATCCGAACGCCAGCTCAGCACTTCAAGAAGCCAGTACGAATCTACACGCGATCTTCGGAGTCCTGACTCTTGAGCTTCCAGATCCGCAGCAGGAACTCTACGTCCAGCCCTCAACATTCACCCTCTTTCCTCAACTCATACCAGAGCTTCGGCTCCAGATCTGGAGAGAGACATTTCCCTCAACTCGACATATCGATCTCTATGAACTTGCTGCGGAGTATATTTTTAGTCTTCATTATCTCAATAGCAGTTATTGTGGAAGTCGGATCACGAGTTACTGCCCTCGAGGAAAGGTTCGGCACGGCGAGACTAAAAACTTCAAGAGAGACTGGCCCATTGCTCTCTCTGTCAATAAAGAGAGCCGGGAAGAGACCCTGAGACACTACGCTATTGTACTACCAATTCAGCACTCGGCTCCCACCAAATTGCATCCCACGACGATATCATCCACTCACATGTTGGCCTCTCTGCATGAGACTAAAGCTCGACACCGCGTCTTGGTACCCGTCACATAGGGCTGAATTGAGGGATTTCGAAGGCGCATGGTTCAATCATATCAACACGTGGGCTTCGCATCTTCTGTTCAAACTGCAGAAGCTGGAAGTGAAAACTGTTGATTTCGAAAATTTTACAAGATCAGAAACATATTGTTTCGTTGAGTTCTGCGAAGCATCACTTTTCCTCACTCGGTTCCCTTCTCTCAAAACCTTGATCTTATCAGTTTTCCCTTGCGAATATGCTGATGAGAAACGCACACGGGCGGTCTTGCAAACCGTTAGGGATCAAGCACAGGTATGGCTGGAGGGGGGAGTGGAAGCGAACTCTGATGCTTCGAGTTTTCCTAGGATAATCGTTCGGCAAATGGTAAATCATGATGAACACATATGTTTTGCCGATGAGGAAGAAGTATGGGATGCTGGAACCCACGGGGTTGTTTCCGGGGGCAATGGAACTTAGAAGTTCATCGATATTACTGGACTAGTGGAATCTATAGACCCCCGATGGAATTCAGTGCTATGGATCCTCCACTGGAATGTATACAGCATCTGTTGACACCTGACAAGACTCACGCTAAAAACCAACTTTCTGTTATTCTAAGATTACCCGATAATACCAATCTGGAATGGGGATGCTAGAGCTCATCGCTAAGTGACAAACGTAATGTCTAACTAACATCAAGTGAAACAGTAAAATGGGCAGCTTACAGCTGTCTTGACTCTTGATAACTAATGTTTATTGTGTCACTGTGTCAGTATTCACTATTAGAACGCCGATGCCAAACGTTTCTTCAAGAGCTTTTTCTAGTATGAATTTGAATGCTTCTATTTGTTCATGGTCTGACCTAGGTTTCCTTGCCGGATTTGGACCGTTTCTTATATGTGCAGTAGACTACTAGGTCATTCGGGTTTGAGTTAGGCTAAATTGAGAGCAAGATCCGAGGTAGGCCTGTCAGTTATTTTTAACTTGTTATTATTTATAGCTCTAGCGAGACAGGGATAATTGTTAGTTGGTTGGTTGGTTAGGCCGTAACCTCAACCTTAAATATCTCGGCGCCTAGCAGACAACGAGCATTAAACTCTTCGCTATTCGACCCCCAAATTTACTACTTCCAAAGCTCACAAAGTATGGACGGACTATCAGACAGTCTCGGGAATACTACCCACTTCGATTCTTCATCTAAGAAAAGCCAAGAAGGTTCGTCTGCGGAAACACTACTGATCGGCTCTTGATATTCACCAATCTGCTTCTTCTAACATGTAATCACAGAGAATAATCAACTTATCGAAGGCTTTCCGCAGTTTTCACGGCTGTCCATCGAGCTACGACTTATGATATGGGAACATACTTGGCCCGAACCACAAATAATCGAGGCCGCAATATACGAGGAAGAGACAGAAAAAGACGAGACAGAAGAGGGCGAGTTGGAGGACGATGAGATAGAGGAGGACGAGCTAGAGGAAGAGTACCTAAATACTGGATTTCTACGTCCTGCTTATCCGCTAGCTGCCGCCTTGGACAGCGAGCCTTTCTGGTCGAGGTCTACCGATTCAGATGAACTGACCCACTGTTTTGACCCCCACTGTTTTTACCCCATAGCCCTACAAATCTGCAGAGAATCGCGGAAGCACACATTGACCAAATATCGACTCATGGAGCATATGAAAACCGCAAAGGGCTGCTTCTATTTCAATCCAGACCAAGATCTCATCTGGCTTAGTTTTGACGTTATCGACGACGTTAGGATGAAAAGGTATCTTGTCGATCTAGAAAACTTTTATGGGGAACAGTTACATGCAATAGAAACTCTTCTCGTCGAGGATTGGATCCTAGCATGCGAGAATTTGGATATATATTCCGACTGTGTAAAGTCCTTGAGCGGCCTCAAAACAGTCTTTATCCGGCTAGTTGTTGACGCTGAAGATATGAAGATGGATATGGAGAGCGAGATGAGAGGTGTTGCAGATGAAGACGAGGGTAGTATCCAAAGTTACGGCGACGCGTTTCGGGAACAGACGAATGGGTTCAAAGAGGAATATAGGAAGTTCCTGGAAGACAAGCATGATATAAGGGTCCAGGTGTTATGCATAGATCGCACCGGTATGTTAATCTGAGGTTAGGCCATCTGTGGATAGGGCGAGGTGCTATATATTAGCACAAAGGATTAAATTATCAGCAGCGCTAGCGCTAAAACTTCTTTCTAGTGTCAGAGAATATAGGCCACCATAGAGCGATACGTTTCTCGTGTTCAACTGGAACATGTCACGTCGCAATGTTTCTTCCCTTCTTTCATCAACTTTCATTCCGTTTCAGCCACGTACTCTTTCAGCCATCTAACATCAAACTGCTAGTCAGTGACGTGGGTGCTAGTATCATTCCGGCTCTTTTCTGCCGCCAAAGATGAAGATGATTACTGAACATCATATCCATGACCAAGCAACGCTAGAAGTCTCCGCATGTATGCGCAAACCATGCCACCCCTCCATTATCCAAGACAAGTAATCAGCAACCTGACCTGATATCCAAGCATCTCCAAATGCCGCTATTCATGCAAAGCTATAGAGATGACTAACCGCTATGCATTCCGGGCCATATAGCATAATCTGCCCGTGCCCATCTTATCACGAATTGCCTACTGCAGAGAATGGCAGGATCTGAGGTCATAGTCTACGAGTCGCTATGCGGCTGTATAGGTCTGTCTCATTGTTTGCCATCTAGCTGAGATTGGTAATTCAGAGGGTGCAGTATGAGTTGAGTGTTCGAATCGTAATGGGGTTAGAGGAGAGTATATAACAAAGGGGATTGACTGCCAGAAAACGAACTCCATCACACACTGAACAAACAACATCCTCAAGCAATCATTATCGATTTGAATTATCCATCCATCCATCGATATTACTTTGTCAATTCAGATCCACTATATCCTCAACTCGTCAAAATCCAACCATACCAGTCTTCTACAACATGTCTGGACTCACTTATGTTATCACCGGTGCCAACCGCGGTATTGGAAAAGGTAAGCACTTTATCTAATTCGGACCCTGAGCTCCGAATCCTTCTTGATCAGACAATACTGACTGACGTTCCTGCAGGTCTCCTCGAGACTCTTGTCCTCCGTCCTCAAACAACTGCCATTGCTGCTGTCCGTGATGTGGCTTCATCCGAAAAGACACTAAGCTCTGTCCCTGTTGGCTCGGGTAGCAAGATCATCGTCGTCAAGGTCGATTCCACCTCTGCAACAGATGCCTCAGAAGCTGTTGAGGAGCTTAAGTCGAAGCACAGCATCAGTAAAGTCGATGTCCTGATCGCCAACGCTGGGCTTTTAGACGTCGCAGATATCGCCCCAGCTCTTAATGCCTCTGTTAGCTCTATCCGCAAGCATTTCGAAATCAACACTCTCGGTCCCCTTGTCCTAACCCAAGCCTTCTTCCCGCTCCTCGAAGCAGCCTCGGACCCAAAATTCCTAGTCCTCAGCTCAAGCATCGGCTCGATCAAGCTCCTAGAGGACTACCAAGTTCCCTTCTTCACCTACGGCATCACCAAATCTGCAGCAAACTACCTCGTCCGCAAGCTGCACTTTGAGAACCCTAAGCTAACCAGTATGGCATTCTGCCCTGGATGGGTCCAGACTGATATGGGGACTGGAGCTGCTAAGGTTGTGGGCATGGATAATGCGCCTGTGACTCTTGAGGACAGTGTGAAGGGTCTTATTACCCAGTTTGATGGAGCTTCAAGAGAGAAGTCTGGAACGTTTACTTCGCAAGAGGGGAACAATATTCCGTGGTAAATGGACATGCAGTCATTATAGGGGTGCAAAGAAAAGGGATGAAAGTAAAAAAGGGTAGAAAATGGGTCAATGGTAGCTGATAGAGGAAGAAGATATATTAAAGATTGAAAAAGGGAAGCAAGTGTAAATCTTGATTACCATTGTCATGTGACCCATCTTTTACGTGAAACGCAATTTGCGCAATTGTTTATTAGTTACATTACTATCAGTTATCTACGGCCCCATTTCTTGTCAAGCACAGCACAGCACCTTCATTTATATTATCATTTATCTATCACGTTACTCCTTAGCCTCATGTCACTTCAAGCATGGCAAAAACCCAACCCATCATCAAATAAGCTTAAATACTAGTGGCAGCGATCTCTCAGCCGCCGGGATGTTTCGTTTCCGTGAATAGTCGCAATATTAATAGGACACCAACTTAACACTCTTGGAATAAAGAGGCGCCAATACCTTCGTCTCCCCCTCTTCTTACCTACTTTTACGATGGCACATTCCACTCCCATACTTTTAATTGCGCAGTGGTCTTGACAATACTGCACGCAGCCAATTGACGATATTGTTGGTGTTGAAGGACTCTGAAACTCAGCTGAGACGAGAACAAAGACGACATTCCAGCCCAAACGTGGATGCAAACAGACGAACAGTGGAGATTCTAGTATTTTCAAGTGGCCAGGCATAGTGCTACGTCACGTCTACGATATCTCCCTTCCTCCCAATTCAAATAGGAACATCGACGCTGTTGGGAATTGTATATACAATATCCATATCAAAGCACAGCATCTACCATGCTCTGCAGCAACCGCCCGGAAGGCTTTGTGAGTACAAAACCTAACAAACTTGTGACGAGAAGTGAGAAAGCACAGCTAACAAAATCATATCCAGGGCCCACACTCAACCCTCTCCTCCCCAATCCCAACAACCTGCTTCGTCGACACAATCATAATCCCCCTCCCCGTCTGGATCGCTTTATTTCTCCTCCCCCTCCTCATCACTATCTCCCTCCACCACCGAAAACAGAACTTTGACCCCTCAACCGCGCATCTTCGCGCCGTCGCCCCACGATCATGCAGCTTCATCACCGTCCACATCCTGTTCTACCTCTTCATAATCGCCAACATCCTCATGCTGACACTCGAGATTGTGCGCCTGGAATTACTACACTTTGGCATTGGCCTACTGCCGTTTTCGTATGTCGGGCTGTTGCTAGGTGCGGGGCTGCATGCGAGTGAGGGGTTCCGGGGGCATATTAGAGGATGGCAGGTCGTGAATGGTGTGCTCTGGCTTGGGGGTATGGTTGTTAGTATTGTGCAGGTAGTGGGGTTGAATAAGGAGGGCATCCATGGGAGGAAAGGGACTAAGTATCCCATCAGTGATCAGGTCATTGATGTTGCGGTTATGGCGGGGGTTTATGCTGCTATTGCGCTGTTGGAGGTCGGGTTGGGGGCTTGGAGCGTGAAGAGGGATGGTGGTAGAAGAGAAAGTTTGAAGAGTGGCATTGGGGGTGTTGGGCAGCACGAGATGACTGATTATGGTGCAGCGCATCATAGATCATAGGGGGGTAGATGTTCTTCTGTATGCACTAATCGATTTTTAGATTGAAAGGCGTGTATTCCATTTCTGCAGCCGGCGTGACGGTCGTTTTGCTTGAAATTGCTTCCTAGAATGGACGACTACTGACCTCGACTACTGACCTCGACTACTGACCTTGACTACTGACCTCCCTCTGCATGCAACTCATCATCTTTGCAAAACAGATTGTTGGCTCCTAAGAGATCCCAAGCGGGTTTACAAGATTCTATTATCAGTCGCAGGATACATAGGCGGAAACCTCATCTCCTCTTCACCCTCAAGCTTCAAGTCCCATCTTCCTCCCCGGTGCAAGATGTCCTGGCACATACGGGAACTCCTTTTTAAAATGCTCCGCAATCTCCTCTCTAGTAGCCACCCAAACCTCGTCACCCCCCTTCTCCTTAACATACAACATAAAACTCCTCAACGCCTCCGCCCGCCCCGGCTTCCCTATAATGCGCGAATGCATCGGTACATTCATAAGTTTCGGACTCCCTGCTTGGCCTTCACGGAGCAGCATATCGAACGTCGATTTCAGGTACTCGAGATACATGTGTGAGCCTACAAACCCAGGACTCATGTGGAACTTTCCGTCTAGAATAGGAATCATCAAATAAGCAAGCATGGGTAAGGGAAAGGGAAGCCAAGCATAAACAAACATACCGTTACAATCATAATTATATGGCACAATCAGCAACCCCTCCCTCTCCCCAACCTCGAGTCCCTCCTCCCACGGCAGATCAACCCAATACGGCACATCGTCATTGAACGCCTCACTGCTGTACAACAGCCTCTTCCCGCCCCCCATCTCCTTCACGACCTCCGGCCACAGACACCGCGTATTCGGCGTCCCCCGCCCATAAAAATAGCCCCGTGGAAAAACTCCTGTCACATCTTCCAGAGTTTTACAATTCTCCCTGATATACGCCTTCTCCTCCTCAACAGTCAGCGCAGAAATATCAAGCCACCTCGCACCATGCGCAGCTATCTCATGGCCATCGCGTACCAGCGCACGCGCGAACGTAGGGTTTTTGGCCACGGCTTGTGATACGGCCCATGTGGTAAATCTATATCCTTGCTCCTTGAACAATCGCAGGATGCGCCAGGCACCGACGCGGGAGCCGTATTCGTATCTATGTTTTATTGTTTCGTTAGGCCGTTGCAATGGGATTAGAAATGGGAGGGAAATGGATGGGGGAAAGGAAGGAGGACAAACTCAGACTCAGCAGCCATATGTCTCGCGCCCTCTAAAAACGAACTCGATGCCCCCTTTTCCCATAGATACGGCTCCGAGTGCGCGTCTCCATTCAGCACCGTTCGCTCGCCGCCTTCTTCGTAATTTAGGATGAAGGAGAGGGCTAGCTTGGCGTTGTTGGGCCATTGGGGATGCAGTGACGATTCGCCGTATCCTGTAGGGTTTGTTTAGAAGAGAAGTGCGGGTTTGTACCTACTTATAGCTTGATGGGATATAGAGGACTTGCCTTCTAGATCACGGGGGATTTCGTAGCGGGGGTCTGTGACTACCATTTTGCCAGCCACACGTGGTTATAAGTCTATTGTTGATAGTTATGGGAACGGGGAAAATATAATCGGAGGTTGAAGTGTTGTCACTTCACCTTGGTTTATTTTACTTCTAGTTATGTTTCTAGGGTAAAGAAGGATATATAAGAGAATAAGAGAATGGGATGGGACAAACTGATTAGATTATTTCTCCTATACGTCTATCTACATCTACTTGTACCCTACCCTGCTCCTGCTTCGCTGATGTCCTTGGCCGACGCGTTCCTAGAGCTATGGCGGGGTATATCGGGGCTCCGATGAGGGGCTTATCAATGCGATACTGTATGCCATCCATCCTTGTATCGATCATAGCACGGCCAAGTTTATTTTGTGGGGAAATGGAACCTCTTTAAGGGAATGGAGGTAAGAGGGTGGGGTGATAGCGCATATAAAAAAGGTTGTTAAATAGATATGTTAAAAGTTTTAAATATGCGCCGTGCATTCTTGAAGCCTTGTTTAAATTGCCGTCTAGCATATGATGAAGGCCCCCTTTTCCACAATTCAGCGTTAGTAATTTTCTATCCAATGAAGTAAATAAGCGAGTAGAGAGCTTTCTACTATACATATTTCTAGTCGTGTATTATTATTATTTCACTATACTAATTGAGATAATCCAGAAATCTTCCAAATACATACAAAGTCAAATAGAGATATAGCTTTCCAATCAGTTGTATTGCATAAATTTGGATCCAAATGAAGTTCGTCATTTTTCATTTCAGAATTGAAAACATTCCACTCTTACTACATTCTAAAACAATCTCTTATTGCGCTTTCTGGCTTTGTATTTTCCTCTTTCCTAGCCGTCTTTTGCAAATTTCCAGTCTTATCTTTCCAGCTAGGCTAGCCTATTTTCCTGCTTTACTCCACTTCAAGCAGTCTAAACCTGGAAGACAGAAAAGCCAAAACACTACCCCTACTTACCCCAAGCTAGTCAACACATACTCATTCCCACTCTTCAACGGCACCCCCATCCCACCTGGGATACCAATGAACTGGCACTCTCCCAACGTCTCCCTCGTAGCAACGCTATATTTCAGCGCGCCCGTGGAAAAATCACACGTACTGCCTGCGCTATTGCCAACCTGCAGTGCGGTATTGGTGCCGATAAACTGGTCGTCGATTTCGTCGATGATGAGAGATTGGTACAGCTCCTCGGCGTCAAGGTGGCAGGGGTCGGAGCCATAGACTTGACGCGTATAGATTTTCGGCGGAACAGTCGTGGTGCAGTTGTTGTCGGAGAAGAAGATTACGTTTATGAAGGGGCCGCTGGACTTTTTGGCAAGCGTTGGGGAGGCGGTGGTGAGAGTGGCGAGGAGGGGGAGGAGGGAGATAATGGTTGCGGATTTGTACATGTTGGTGGTTAAGGTTGGTGAAGTAAAGTGAGCTGATTTGTAAAGGAGATTTGTGTAGGAGAAGAGTGATTTGGAATAGTGTATTGAAGCACTGTATGTGATAGATGATATGGATTTTATAACTGGTAAATCCTGTTGCTTTATAGTTCCTAGAGTGGTGGCAAATATTATACAAACTCGTATTAAGAAAAACAATAGGCACTCAGCTATACCTGGTAAGGTCAGCATTGAGTGCATTTGAGATTGGATGTCTTTTCTTGAATCTGACACTCTCTACTACTAAGCATGGATAGATTTGATCCTGCACCTATAAATGCCTAGTTCTAGCTCTTTAGACTAACATAACACTAAGTTGATATTAATATGAGATCTGTTAATTACAGCCTTGATTTTCCTCGAATCAAAGTATCTTAACTGGCCTATAGTTTACAAATATAGAGTAAATATCATAGGGATTATCAGATTAAAAGAAAAAGGGGCGTGCCACTGCCCGTGGCGATCATATCATAGATCTTGCATGTCTATATTGCCTCGACAAGGAAATACGGGCGAACCTCTATAATGACGCAGGACCATCTTCAGCCTCTGTTCAGGGCTGTGAAAAGGGTTGCTATGAATAAGCTTAGTCTAAGGCAACGTATACCTCAACCTATCCTGTCGAATTATAAAATATAAGCATAAAGACCCTTACCCGGTACCCCGTATCCTGCTTACGCCCTCACGGTAATCAGGTAATCCGCCCGGCAGCTCTGACAATACGAGCTGTAACTTGTGACGTGGAACTCGTATATCAATTCAACGGATTTAATGTTTACCTGTCTCACGTCTCATTATTTAGAATAGGATTACTCAACATGTATGCGTTGTAATGCAATTCCTAAATTCAAAAATGAACACGAGGAATGTTATACAATTCATTTCACAAAGCCCAAAAACACAAACACTTCACATTTTACCCTCGCCCCACTAATATACTATAAAATTCTCAACCTAGGCTTTTAAACTCGTGCGGGTATGATAATTATGATACAGTAAAAAGTGTCTGGTATTAACTCTCCTCGGTTGTTACCTATTTGTTATTCTAACCTACCGCCATAATATTAATAGTATACACTAAGTTTCAGCAGATCAAGCAGCAGATGGTTTACACGTTCAGGCGGGGAATCAGGTCTGTATCACGAGACTTAGTGGTCATCTTATTAAGCTGTTCCGGCGTCCTCAACATCTTCCCCCTCATCAAATCTTTCACTTCCATCTGGTGGGAATCTCGAAAACAATAATACACAAAAGCCAAGTATTGCAACAGCCTGACAAAATCAGTAAAAAGCTCCATAGACAACGATAAAGTGTCACTCACAGCATTGCATATAAACACAAGATACGTCTTCCCAATTTCTGCAAATGCAGCAAATACTAAACCAAAGATACTTGCTGTGAAAAAGGTCAGCCTAGTACCTATCTCATTATAATTACATCGCATAACGTGAACGTACTAGTTGTAAGTCTAGCAATCATCTCAATAAGTGTAATAGCGCTCAAAGCATCGGCGCGTTCGGTAGCCGAACACATCTGCAGAATTGTACCTTTGGCCGAGGCTCCTGTCCCCGCTGCAAGAGGAAGCAGGGCTGCAACAAGATACATCTGCCATCCTTGGCTCACAAATGCAGCTGCTCCGGTAAGGATTCCATCAGCGAGCAAGCTATATCTGGTGTATATGAGATCGAACGCAAATGTTTCTCTCTCACCAACTAGTTCTGGAGGCTCAACTGGCTCCTCTTCATCATTCATAGCCTCAAGGGCCGCTATATCGTTTTGTTGATTGGGTATACCTGGAATGGTAGAGTCTTTCGGAGTAGCCGTCTCGGTAGGTTTGGAATACGTCAATCCCGCGAACCATTTCCGCCCAGCATTAATGATTTTGGGAAAGGCGATGGCGAGAAACAAGCCACGGATAAATGAGTTCAAAGATATCAAGTAACCGTTCTCCGAGGTCCCAAAATCGTAAATGTCAGTTGCGTACATCTGAAGTAGGGTAGGTATGTAACCTGTAGCTAGCACGCCCATGAACGTGCCTATAGCTAGGAGAATCATTCCGTATTGTGTCTCGATTCGACCACCGGGAAGGACCCATCGCCGAGGAACAAACATCTTAAGTGGGCCAAAGAATTTGCTGAATCCGGTTGAAGCCTGAGAAGTTATTGCTTCTGATGGTGGGATCTGAGGTAGTGCTAATAGCACATATACACATGAACCCATGAACAAAATCAGCGTTAACCTGAAAGGTGCAATAATACCAAATGCATCACTGATAGTTCCACCAATAAGATACGCGCTCGACATTCCTAGGAAGCAACAGCCTTGCAATTTACCAAGCGCCCCCGTTCTTTCACTAGGCTCCAAGATTTCGGTGACATAAGAGTTCAACGCGAGAAGGTACCCCGACGGCCCTCCAAGTACGGTGATAATCTGCGAAGCTTGGATTACGATGATACCTTTACCACCTCCAATCATCACTGCGACATTTTGCACGACAAGGCGTGCTGCCGGCCAGAATACAGACAGCAATAGCCCTATCTTGATGCCGAATTTCTTTATCGTCCATCCAGTGATAAGCAGGTTCAAGACTCCGAAAATAGTTGTGAAGGCGCTCAGCAACGCATAAGCACGGGAGGTTCCCGCTTCGATTTCACGATTGGAGCATCTATTAGAACCAGGCCCTGGCTCCGGGTGCGTTTGATAGTATACCTCGCAAGTCATCAAGCGGAAAACATATAGAAGTCTATGTAGAGTAAGTTGCAGTAGCTGTGATAGCATAATAGCTATGACATGACTTGGAAACAGGAACAAAAGAAGTGAGAAGTGCATACGGAACTTGAGTAACTCCAAAAGATAATGATACCAGGAAGCCGCAAAGTAAGGCTCGGTACAGCACAGATTTGCCATATTTCGGGGCTTCTATCAGTGGCCCCTTCGACAGGAGAGGGGTAACTTCATTGACTTTCGAAGCTGGATGCTCTGTAACAGCCATATTGAGGTTTGTTGATGATATTAGCTGATGGGAATGAACTAGAGAAGAAGTTTTGGCGTCGCATCATTATACCCCACGTAAACCATTCAAGGGTGGGATGTAAGCCGTGCCCGTAACGGCGTTACGGTACAATGCATGTGGGCCAGGCTTTCTAGCAAGGCTTCTACGCCCGAACCGTTACGCCTAAGCGGTGAAGCCAGCAACCCACACGCGCCACTAAACTTCACAAGCATTTTGCGACGGATCCCGGGCGATCTAAGAACGTCTTTCTTATCAGTTTCATTGGTTGTTCCTGGCTTACCATTAGCTCATAGATCTAAGCTTTTAAGCCGCATCTCTTGATGCATCTAGAGTCCTTTCAGATAGCGAGATATATATTAGAGAGGCAGTAGTAGACGAGAAGGATTCCTGATTGCCACTATCCCGAGTGAGGCGATCTATGCAAGGAAGAAATATTCTGGTCACATGACCCTAGTGCCGATGACTAAACGGGAGAGCTCAACCCACCAGACCTAGTAAACCTCACCTCCAAGCTTCCTCATCTGCACTTATAAAAATGAACATGCAATATAAATCAGACACAGATTAAGTCATATTCGCTAGTATGAAGTGATCACACCTTAATAACAAAAGTTTGTCTGATTAGGAAATTATAGCGGTATATGTGTCACGCCGTGCGACTCATACGGCGGGGCGCGGGGAGAGCGGGGGGCACGGAACGTGCGTCCGCCAGTCTTAGTCATCCTGTTATATCTGATATAAGAAAAATGTGGTCCCTGAAATGTTAGTCTGGTCATATCTTATTCACATTGAACGGGCAATACCAGTACAGAACTACCATGGATATCATCACTGCCTCCAAACCTCAGTCAGTCCTTGATGAACCCTCGGCAATACCTCTCGCTGCCGAGGTTCCTCCTTGTAACAACCCCATCCCCATCGAGCCGGTCGATTTCATCGATAGCGACAACCCCAAGGTCCGCACAAAGCTGCGTTTATATTCCATTTTATCGGCGCTCTATGTAGCTTACCCCGCCCTATTTAGTCTTCACCGAAAGACAACCTAGCCCTACTAACAATATCTTGTAGCTCGGCCTCTTCATCGCAGCCCTTGATCAAACAATTATCGCAATATCTATTCCCACGATATGCGATGATCTACACTCTGCTTCGGGCTACGTCTGGGTCGGTAGTGCCTACTTGCTAGCAAGCGCCGCTTCAGGTCCAATCTGGGCAAAATGCAGCGATATTTGGGGCCGCAAGCTCATGCTCCTTATAGCAGTTGGTTTGTTTGCAGCCTCCAGCATACTTGCAGCGCTCAGTACCACCATGCCAATGCTGATTGCTGGACGAGCCCTTCAAGGCACAGCTAGCGGTGGCATGATACAACTAGCAATCATCACCATCTCAGACCTCTTTAGTGTGCGAAAACGATCCTTATACATGGGCTACGTGGGCTTCGTATGGGCTCTAGCTGGATCGGCTGGACCGCTAATAGGGGGAGCGCTCACAGAGTTCAAGACTTGGCGGTGGTGCTTCTGGATCAACCTTCCCATTTGTGGGACTACTTTCGTCCTGTTACTTCTCTTCTTGGATGTGCATAACCCACGCACGAAGCTAGGCGAAGGTATCAAAGCCGTCGATTGGCTCGGGACTTTCTCTATCCTAGCAGTAACCCTGCTACTTCTCCTAGGACTGGATTTCGGCGGAGCGGTATTTCCTTGGAGTAGCCCGAAAGTTATTTGTTTGGTTGTATTCGGGACCTTGATGATTGGCTTCTTCCTGTTCAGCCAGCAACGCCTAGCTAAATACCCCCTAATGCCGTTAGGCGTGTTTAAAAGCTGGTCGAATAACGCCATTTTCCTTATTGTGTTTTCGCATGGTATGGTACTCCTAGGCATAGAATATTATATGCCGCTATACTTTCAAAGCGTACGGCAGGCCTCGCCTCTCCATTCTGGTGTTCTACTATTACCACTCATAGTAACGCAAGCCGTCGTCGAAATCTTGTCCGGCACCGTCATCAACCGCACAGGCCGCTATAGGGAGATTATATGGACTGGCGTAATATTCATGATGATAGGGACAGGACTGTATATCACTTTTGGACCCGGTACATCCGTTGCGACAGTCATCGGGCTGCAAATCTTTGGCGGTCTCGGCCCTGGACTTCTTTTTCAGGGGCCTATGATTGCTATCCAGAGCACTGTCAGCCAGGCCGATACCGCGGCATCCATAGCGGCCTTAGGTTTTATCCGTAGCCTTGCCATGGCACTATCCATCGTGATCGGCGGCGTAGTATTCCAAAACAGTATGGATAGTCGGCAATCCTCTCTTGCTGCCGCTGGCCTCAACGAATCTGTCCTTGCGGCCCTGTCGGGAACCAACGCAGCGGCAAACGTGGGTGTTCCGCGTACGATCCAAGACGCCTCGCAGCGGCAAGTGGTCTTGGAGGCTTTCGCTTTTAGTGTGAGGAATATGTTTATATTGTACACGTGCTTGGCAGCTGTTGCATTGGTAGCCAGTGTGTTTATCAAGCACCGAGTTCTGAATACAGAGCATACGGAGACGAAGACGGGCATACAGCAGTTGAAGAAGGCGGCAATTACTGAAGGATGATGGATAGTGTCACCTCGAGCGTTTAGATTTATCAACTATAGATTTCTACTTATTGTGAACTATTCAAAAACAAGCGACAGAAAAATTATGCGAATACGGGGTTAGACCACGTGATTCTGAGTCATATTATACGGAGGGGCCTTTCATTTATATATATATACTTCTATTTCCATTGAAATGCAAGCAGATATAAAAGTGGTGAATAGTTTCCAAGCTCTAAGGCTAAAAAATTGGCACCGCTTCATTTTGAGCTCTCGATTCTGGCTCTCCATCCCAGAAAAAGTATGCGGAATGAATATATATAACTATTGTGTCAACATCGGAGCCCTAGCTTAACCAAGTATTCCGAGACCGAACCTCAACTTTTCGAGCGGCATGAATAATGGCATGAGGGAATTAGCAGACACACGGTCTTTAGATTTGGAATTTCAACATCTGGCTATTATCGTTGGGGTAACATATCACGTGTAACACGTGGTCTTAATATCAATGACTAAGCAGCGATGAGGCCTTTCACTTCATCGGTGCAACCTTAGCTAGAACCTCTTCTACACCTAGAAATGCAACCACATACAACTTACTAGGCCAGACCAGTGCACTACGTGTAACCAACAGTACAAGTTATGCTTCCCCGACTTGGCTAGTGTAAGTCGACTTACAGCAACCTGGATCCTTTCCCATTGTCACGTGATTCTCACTCCTTTTACTCGAGTTGGTGCATTCTATCTAGCTTCGAGACATAGGGCGTTGTTCTTGTCACTTTACTCACTTGTGATCATGTTTCGTACTCTTTGATGCAGTCACAAAGTTGTATTGACGCATGCATATGCAACAAGGTAGAGACTCGCCGTCTCGATACTACGTACCCCTATTTCAGCCCTGCAATTTAAAATTTGAGCATTCCTGATTCTCTCTTCTCAAACGACCAAGAGCCTTCAGCGGCAAACTCAAGGTTCGGGGACAAGCATCTTTCTTCCCCGCGAGCGCATGGGGGTATGATGATGCGGCAACAGGCACCTTACCTTGCACCGTTCCTGGTGAAATGGCTTCTTACACCTCGGAAGCGAGAAGCCTGACATTGCTTCTCCAAACATCCCCTGCTTGGGCCAAGAGATAGTTTGTTTCAGTCGGTGAACGAATGAAGAAGGTGCAGTGGAGTATTTCAAGTGCTTCCAGTTCCTGATCCCGACAGTTTGGTTCAGCCTCGTGGACGGTCGACAGGCCTAATGTCGCAAGTGGAGCCCCTGCATGTTGGGGTCGGGTAGATAGGGACGGGAGAAAGTATAACTCTGTCAATAATCTAATACAGAACTCAATAAGCCAAAGAACTTTGGTATTCCAAGTCTGTTATACATTTTTTTGACGATTGTTGTGGTACAGAAATACGATTACCCATAATCAATTATTTGTTCATTGTCACTTCAGCAAAATAACGTACAAATGGCAACCAACGATGTCATATCCCCCACAGAAGCACAGCAGCTTGTCAAAAGGATCGCTCTCGGTTATGGGTGGATCGGCCAGAGAGCCCGGGATGAGACTCATCCTGACGCTCTTGAAGCGATACATATACTCCAAGAAAACCTTGGACTTTCGGTCAGAACGTATGCTCACTGTTCCAAATGCATTGGAAAAGATTGACAATATCGTAGACTAGCAACAAATCTCTACAAAAGCCAGGCTCGATTCGTATTTGAATTGATCCAGAATGCCGAAGACAACGCTTACACGAGAGCTAAGTCCAATGGTGCAGTACCTTACATTGAGTTCACCGTCTATCCCAACGAGATAGTTATCGACTCAAATGAGGATGGATTTACTACCGAAAATGTGAAATCAATATGCAAAGTTAATCATAGCACCAAGGGAAGAGATGGCGTTCAGCAATTCATTGGTGAAAAGGGCATTGGATTCAAGTCCGTCTTCATGGTGGCATCGAAAGTTCATATCCAATCAGGTTCCTTTTCATTTTCCTTCGAAGATTCACCGGAAGAACTTGAAGCACCAACCGATATTGACGTCGAAAATCCATCTTCTGGGCGGCAGGCTGCCGCTGCTCGTAGTATGGGTTTGGTGACTCCAATTTGGGAGCCTGCGGATACAGTTCTGCCAGACCCTCTGACCCGCATGAAATTGACTCTCCGGAATAAATTGAGCTATTCCAAACTACTTTCGCATTTCGATACTCTCCCTGACACCTTTCTCCTCTTTTTGAATAAGCTTGGTGCCATCACAATTACAAGAAGAGACCGAGAGACTGCGGAGTCTACCACATTCTCAAGAACACTAGACGAATCCTCCAGACAAGCGACTTTAAGCAAGGCCCAACGTATAGGTTCCGAGGTCCTACGACCTTCTTTGAAGCACTACCATATTACCCGGAGGACGCTGACAAATTTGTCACCCGATGAACGACGAAACGGCAACTCTGCTGAAGTAGTGCTTGCATTCCCCTTCGAGGATGAGGAACCTATTATTGTTGACCAGGAGACTTATGCGTACCTGCCTATGGGGAACTTCGGATTCTCCGTAAGTAGATCTTAACATAGTATATGTACGTGGCTAATACATACAGTTTCTTATTCAATCCGACTTCATTACGGAGGGTAGTAGGGAGGGTGTGATGGAGGACAATCTCCGGAACAATGATATACTTGACGGCATAGCTGAGACATTCCTGGACGCCGTGCTTCAATTGTGCAAGCATCCCACACTTCAATACAAGTGGCCGCGATACATCCCACAGACAATACCAAACCCTTTCTGGAGACGCATTAAAGAAAAGATCCACCAACTCCTCAAGGAGCGCGCAGTCTTGCGCGGACAGCGCCAGGGCCCTCTTCGGCCCATCCGTCAGTTGAAGAAGATCCACAAAGATTTCAAAGATCAATTCGGCGACCCCCTTGTTGCTGACTTGGACGAGGAATTGTATCTTTCATCCGAATACCAAGAGGAAGACATAGCGGCTCTCGATAAACTGAATCTAGCATTTATGAACTTCGGTGATGCATTGGCGCGCTTCAAATGCGATTTGAGCAGAGGAACTGCCCGGTCTAAGTTCAAATCCAACGAAACGACTGATGATTGGCATAACAGGACTGCAAAACTTTTACTGCAGGCTTTCAAGATGAACTGGAAATCTTCGACACCTGACAAAGTCCGTGAACTACCATGTATTCCACTGGAAAGTGGAGAGTGGACCGCAATCATCAATGGCGCGGTATACTTTCCTCGCACGGAGGGTATACTTATCCCAACTGATCTTGGATTAAGAATTCTTGACGAGAAATCTTTCAAGGACCCGATAAGAGAGGAACTTTTTGTCGCCCTAGGGGTTGAGCATGCTAAGATCCAAGATATCAGAGCACTCGTGCTGGAACGCTATGACAAAGCAGAGTCTTTCATCACCTTCGAAACATCTTTGAATGATCTTCAATTTCTGTATTCGGCATATTCTCCAAGATCAACTGTTCAGCTTCGCAAATCGACTTCTCTATTCGTCTTTAATCATCTGGGCCGTCGAATTCAAGACGATGAAGATTTGTATTTTCAAAGTGACGAGGAATATAGTTTTGAAAAGTTGATGGGATCAGTCTTGGAGACAGCGCCATATAACAATGGCCTTGTTGGCTCTTTCATTCATCCAAATTATCTCAAGCGAATCGAGCTTCCTCCTGCGAAAAGATCTGAATCCCACCCAACATTGAAGACCTGGTTACAACGATCCATTGGTGTATTGAGCCACCCGCGGCTTGCAGACTCCCAAGATTCCACGCAACTATCACCGATCTTCCATTATATTATCAAAGAGTGTCCGGAGAATATGTTGGGGACACTGAAGGCACATGGGGTATCCTACGCAGCCGTGATGAATAGTGACTTGGCATCAAAAATATCCGAGGCTGTTGTTCCCAACACCAACATTGGCTCCAAATCTTTGAAAGAGACTTTCCTCCCCTTAGAGATACTGACAATCAACTGTAGCAAGTTTATCGACGTACAGGAATTCCCTTTCTTGAGACTGGAAAATGGAACAGATGTTAAGGGATGGAAATTCCTCAAAGCGTTTCACGTTGGGATTGAAGATAACCTTGACTTCTGGTTGCAGGTACTATATTACTGCAAATTTTCGAACGCGGAACTTCGATATGAGATATATGAATTCATTCAAAAGAAGATTTGGACGTCGGATTCCCCGAATGAGGATGTACAGAAGGTTCGGTATGAATTATCTTTCCGTTGTCCATCGACCCGCATCCCCCGCATCTATAAATCAGCCAGTAAGCTTACCAGTCACTACTCCAGAAATTTCGTCAACGACGAGAAGCTCATACTGGCACCTTCCCGCTTAGAAGGCTTACCCTCTTGGACTTGTCAAGCGTTTTGCTTTTGGGACGCACCAGACTACCTGATATCGACCATTCCTCTACTCCCTTACTTGTCACGCTTTAACACAACTATTCTTACCGCTTTCTTTCAAGGCACTCTCGATATTCCGGATGTTTCTTGGGGAAATTTGAGTGATGAGCTCCATGATCGTCGGCTAGAAAATCTGCACGATATGAAGATTTACCAAGATATCTATCTTCGCCTTCAGAAAATGTCAGCCGATATGGATTCGGAAGAATTGAAATCTCTCCGGTAAGGAATGGAGACTTCATGATCAACAGCAAAGGCTCAACTGACTTGTTTCCTGTAGGGCCGATTTCGAGGCACGTGCGCTCATCTACGACATGCAGGGCCAATGTTGGAAGCCTCCATCAAAATGCCTGTGGTCAAAAGACGCTCAGGTGCCGGGGAAGAGTATAATCAGCGGCCAGTATCCAAATTTGAGGGACTTGTTTGTGGGGGTGCTTAAAGTCAAAATTCCGAATTTGAGTTTGCTCGTCCAAGAGCTGAAACTAGTCGCACAGTCTTCGCCATCAATTGATGATATCAAGAGTCTGATTTGGCAAATCAATGCATTTGCTCCGACTATCAAGGATTTGGCTCAATTAGACGAGTATAAGATCATTCCTGTAAAATGTTCAAACGGGACAGTCGAACTACGGACGGGACTTGAAAGATTCTCGATCATTGACCGTCAGCCCTGGGCTGATGCATTTGAAGGAAAACTGGATGTTGTCGATTTCAGTCTCAAGGAAGTCCGGAGTTTGGAACCTTTTTTATCATGTATGTCGGGCGGGAGATACTTGTCTATGGTTGTGATTGAAAAGTCCTCTTTCGAGGGCTCTCTCCCAGAGCCAAACCTTAAGAGAACAAGGGATTTGCAACGACGTGCTTATGCACTCTCTCGGTAAGTGTGGATCCTTCGCCCTTGAAAATATATTCGGCTCATACTATCAGCTGTGCAACACACTTTAATAGCCCTAGAGCAAAGAACGACAATCAACATCTCTATCAATTACTTCTCAAATCAAAGGTGTACGAAACGGATGGGATTACTGGAAGTCTTGAGCATACACTTCTTGGTATAACCGTTAAAATCCGCGAAATGAAGCTTCACATCAAAGAAAGCCCAGAAGGTTTGCAAATATACGTTCCGAAAAATTCGAGGGACCAAGAGATTTGTTATCTGCGGCTGCTTCCCACGACGTTATTCAACGAGACCATGATGGTAGGAGTTGAAACTAACTCTACAGCGGCGCTTGATCCAGAAGCTGTATCAATAATTTCGGCAATATTCGCGTCTAGCGATGATGTTGTTGATTTGGTTCTTGAGGAAGCTGGTATTGTCCCAGTCTCATATCCTGATCAGTACGAGGAAGAGTTTCAACAATCGCCAGACAACGTAGGCGCAGATCAAGAGCAGAATGTGGAAAGCGATATCGAAACTCTCACATCAGAAACGCAGCCAGAAACTACATCTACTGGCCTTGATACCCCGTCCGCTCAGAGCACCACGTCTTCGAACGCTGCGACTTCTACCTACCGGGCAAACTATCAGCCAAATGTCCCATCACAGCCGATTCAGCCTAGTAATTTCCTAGCAGCTATTTCTCAGCCCAATCTTTCAGACAGGGCACCGCGCCAATTTACTCCCGAAAGCAGCGATGTGGAGTATCGACGATTGCTGAACAACATCATCACTGCAGCGAGAAATAAAAGAGGAGCATTTCCATCGCGGGGAGCCTTCAATCTTGACGAACTTTTAAATGCTCTACCGGTAGAGGCCGCAGAAGAAGTGAACACGTACGATCTTCCTTTCGGAGTCAGGAATCAAAACCAACTTGCTCATGACATGAAAATTGGAGCTGCGGGTGAACTCTACGTATGTACAAAAACCATGGAATTTGGACAAATATCTGACATGTGTAGGCTTTTGAAATTCTTTCCTGTCTAGAGACTACTCTTCCTGAATTTGGTCACCATAACTGGGAGAGCACAATCCGCAAGTTTGTGAAGGTCCATGAAAAGTACCGGGACATGGAGGAATGGAAAGGGTCCGAAACGGCGGACATTACATACGACGACAAAAACGGAGAATTCACGCAGCTTCTGATCGCCAACGGCTACTTGGATGGAAGCATTTGGGCTGCCGCAAAGCCAAAGTACTTCCTCGAAGTGAAGACGACAACAAAAGAAGGTGCCACCAAGCTCTTTGTGAGTAAGAGTCAATATCGAAGAGTAAGTCTACTTTTGTAAGTCAGGTTGGCTTGACACTGACAAAACTTAGATGCATAGAATGAAATTAGGTGCTCACGCATCAGATGAAGTATATATAATCCTTCGTGTCTTCAATCTGGATAAAGAGAATATTGATATGCGTCTTTATGTTGACCCGGCTGGAATGGAAGACAGGGAATTAAAATTCACACCGGAGTCTTACTCTGTGGTTCCTCTGTCATCTGATAGACGTTGATGGAGATCTAATAAAATAGGACTCACTAGACAGATGTATGCATTCCTTATGTTGGAAAACTTTTTCCTTCTTCTTCTTTCTAGATTGTATAGATTAGTGAGATTGGAGTCCAAGTATGGCGGCTATTTGATGCCAGGTCACACAGCTAATCCTTTCCTTCCTCAATCATATTGACCTTTCGAGTCAACGAATACCTCGTCTATCTAGTAACTACCACTAGCAAGAACGTGGACTCAGCCGTCGTTGCCGGTCAGGAGATCGTTTCCTTGCGGCCCATTCCACTCTGTACCGCTCCTGTCCCCAAGTAAACTCATCAGCACCAGCGTACTGCCAAGAATCCTTATATAAACCTAGACACGGTTGGGAAACCAGACACCCAATTCTCGGATCTTGTAGCATCCGAGGCCGGAGAGGCTTGCCTTGCTCGCCACATCTCCATTCGTCTGGTTGCTCTCCTATCACCTATCTTGGGGAAGGCGTCTCCGAACTAACTTGTATAGGGGAGATACGGATTTGAGGTCCAATGGCGAGCATCTCTAGTTTTTAGAGGTGTATACTTCGGTCCGCTAACCGTTTGTCCGATCCGTTCTTGTTCGTTCTCTTTCCCAGGTATATATATAATACGAAAGTTATACCGAGAGAGAATTAATAACCATCTTATTTGCCGCTCTATAAGCTTACATGCAATCATAGAGTATTCCAGATTTTTGTGGTCTGTACAGATATCGAATTCTTTAAATCCCTGTAACTTGGCATCCCATTCCTCACCAGCTAAGCCTACTAAATTATTTTGATGGCAAAATTGCGAAAGTGTAGATATGCAATAGAAAACACCGGAAATAAACCAGAAAGGGTAACAGATAGAAACTCCTACGGTGTCTGCAACACTCAATCTCCAAGGTACATAGACTACACGCCTCATTGCCCATTTTCGTTTATATGGATATTCGCCATTCTACTTCGCACTAGCTCAGCTCTAGAAGCCATTTTAGTGCCCTGGTACAGTCCTCCTGGTACTTCTTGCTGAAACCTGCCTCCGGCAACCATGACCAGAAAGCATGAGGGAGACCAGGGTAGAAATCAACTTTTGTCTTAACCCCTTCTTCCTTTAAAATGTCTTCGTAGATGATAGCTTCGTCGCGTAGAGGGTCCAAACCGCAGATTTGGAAGTATGTCGGTGGAAGGCCTCTGTGCGTCTCGAAGAGGGACGGTGCCGCTAATGGGGAGTTCGGATCTGCATTGTACATTTCTATGTCAAGAGTATTAGATATGATATTAGTATGAAAATATATTAAGTGCCGACTCACTGTTAAAAAAGTCCATACTGTCCTTGTTCAATCTTGGAGCCTCCTTGTTTTGCTCTCGACTCAAATAAACATCCTTATATTTTGCTGGCACGAGATCTGGTGCAATGCAAGGCGGAATGGAAAGATAGGCCCCCGTTAATGGAGGCGATAACTTGTCATCGCGGTAGAGATGCGATACCACGGCTCCAAAGTTCGCTCCAGCACTGATCCCGCCAGCCAAGAACCCTTTCTTCGGATTTCCACCTAGCTCCTCAAAATTCGCCGCAGTCTATAAAGTCGTCAGCACAACTTTGGGAAGACGCTAAAAGAACATACCCATTTCAAAGCATCATAGGCGTCATTTATTGGTGTAGGAAAAGGGTTCTCGGGTGCCATTCGGTAGTCAACATTGACAGCAATACCTCCCAATCCTGTAAACTTCCTGCAGAGCGCTACTTCCGAGTCGAGGCCCCCGAGCATGAACCCTCCACCATGGTATACTACGAATATAGGGCGTCCATCCTTCGGCGGAACTTTTGGCTTGTGTATTCGGACGGCTATGGACGTTCCATCTCGGACAGGTATCTGCCGGTCTTCCTCTATGTAGTTCACCTCCCCCGTGCTCTGGGATTCGGTGAGCTTTCGCTTTTGCGCAAGGAGTCCGGCTCTCATTGTGGGAATGTCGACATTGAAATCGGGTCGCGGCGCAGGCGGGGAATTCTTGGAAATCTATGATATAGTGAGCGGGGTACTTGCTATAATTGGGGGGATTTTGGTACCTCTTCCAGCTCCGGGTTGATGTTTGCGAGTGCGAGGTGTTCTTCTGGTGTCATTTTGGATTGGTATTAATCAGAGAACTGGCTCTGGGACTTTGAAGGGAAGAGATGATCAATCTCAACGCGAACCACATGCTCTGCTGTACTCAACTACCCCTCGGCGATATACCCCATACTCGTAATGAGGCTAGCTTCATCACCCCCACCTTCGGCCCGAACCATAATAGCGCGGGTCGGGCTTCATGATCCAGAAACACTGGAGCGTATTCACATGTTGATAATACTTTTCATCCATCTACATTGCATTGCATTGTGGCGGGCATTCCAGATTCTTGATGCGCAAGAGTAAGGAAGAAGCAAGCAAGTCTGGTGGTCTAAGCTGAGCTAAGCTAAGGTAAGTGAGCTCGGTGATTTCTTGGCTAAGTTCAAGGGATTTTTTTAATCTACAGTAAGTGTTAAATCTTGTTTATCTACTGTACTGTAGTATCCGCCTAGATGCAACAGGATGTATCTATCTGCTTACTAAATCCTCCCATCCACAACGGGTTTATAATGAACAATGAGTGCCTGTACTGTCTTCTGCGAACAACTTAAAGCTACGGATGTAAAGCATGGTGTCCTGCCCTCGCATGACGAGTTAATCCAACAGCTCCAATTCTCGGACGAAGACCAAGAGGAAGGACGCCTTTTGGGAACTTGGGACAACCTCCAGCAGCGAACGGAGTGCACTTTTTGTCAGCTCGTACTCGCTGTCATTTCTGACACTCAAGGGCCAGATGAAACCAATACAATCAATCCAGATCACCCCTTCAGGATCTTAATATTCCCAGGTGAACAGTGTTTCCGACTCTCATATCCATCACGATTGGGACTTCGTCTAGCTTTTGTTGCTCAAGATGTCCAGCATGTCGTTGGGCCGGATACAGGGAGGCTGATCTGTGAATCTGGTATCCAGTCCCAGCAGGTCAAGGGTTGGCTAAAAACATGCGATGAGAAGCATGGGTCCTGTTCGCTGGGAACCATTGATCATGAACTGGTTGGTTCTACAAAACATTTGGGAGCAAGGACTTATAAATTGCTAGGGTCGAGTAGGCAACTATCTCGGAAGAAGTTTTGGTGAAGATGCAACGTCCAACTTTAGAGTCATCGATATAGAGCTCGGGTGTGTGAAGCATGTTGCTCTCGATTCCCAGTACGTGACATTGAGCTATGTTTGGGGTGCTTCCCCCATGTTTAAGCTCAATATGGATAATTTTGAAAAACTCTCTACGCCGGGCAGTCTGGAAGGGATTCGTGAAGACTTGCCAAAGACCATAAAGGACGCTATTCTCTTCGTGAAAGCTATGGGCGAGCGATACCTATGGGTTGACGGCCTCTGTCTGGTCCAGGATGATGAAGAGGACGTAAGTCTGGGCATACAAATGATGAATTCGATTTATCAAGGGTCTTATTTCACGATTGTAGCTGGCTCGGGAGCTGATGCCAGTGCTGGCTTAGCGGGCGTAGGAGAGGGCACACGTCACGTTGAGCGACTTCCTATCATCAAAAAAGTTGCACCTGGACTTACTTTGACCGTTCTTCGCAGCATTGACTGGCACCTCGGTAGATCCGTCTACAACCAGCGAGGTTGGACGTTACAAGAGCTTGTATTGCCCCGCAGAACAGTCATTTTCATTAACGGTTGTGTCTACTTTCGGTGTCAGGAAGCAAACTGGGGTGAAGAAACATGGGCTGATAAATGGACGCACTGGTTGGATCCGGATGACAGCAACACGAGCCGCATTGCAGGACCACTTGACGGCTTTATGCCGTCATTTTGGGCCTACCAAAAACTGTGTGAAGAATACTCGCGGCGCAAGCTTCGAAGCGATGGCGATGCTTTGCGGGCACTGTCCGGCATCTCTCGTCCTTTGGCAGCTAGAATGGAATCACCGCTGGTAGAGGGGCTCCCAGGATACTACCTTGATCACTTTCTGCTCTTTATCTCTTCTTGCGGTGATATGCGCCGACGACCAGAGTTTGCTAGTTTCTCATGGGCCGGATGGGAAGGTCGAATTATGTTTCCCCGTGAGAATTTTGTCTGGTATGGGGGTGGTGTTGAGCGCTCGTGGAAGACGACCAACATTTTCAAAAACCTGAAAAATAACCGGATCGTTGATTGGGAGACCTTGGACTCAACAGCCCATCTTCGTTCTCTTACGTTTCGGCAATGGACGCCGCCTTCCCTCTTACTCGAGCTGATGCGGGAATACTCTAACGTCTTTTCAGATTCAGAAAAAGATCCACTGAAGGAGCAAAAATCAAACAGATGGAACAGGTCTTCAGGAATTAGTGGCGATGTCCCATGTTGGGATAGAGATGGCATTGACGAACCCATCGAAGAAAGAATGCAACGCGCCAGCGGAAGATTCTCCATCAAGGCTTTCGACTTGGCCAATGGACAAGCCGAATTTGATCGACTTGTGCGCCGAATTACAGATCGCCGGGAACGAAATGCAATGCAAAATTGGATGGCAGGGCGCCGTGCTCGTAGGCCCCCCCTCGGGCAAAATGAACTTCATCTAAATTCTGCTAATTAATCTCTTGTAGGTTACCATCTTTCAGCCTCACAGAAGTCATCGATCGGACCTCGACCTACTTTTGAAGACGAAGAGGGAGCACATTATTGGCACCGAACACCGCGTGCCACCTCGATGAAAGAATTGAACGCTAATGTGAAGATCAAAGATCAGCGAGAGGAATGCGATAGGCGTTGGGTAGATGAACAAGCGGAATTGGGCAAGAACGCTGCTATGGAAACTTCCAAGATGCCGTCAGTTTATCCCGGACTGCCTTGCATGCACACCAAAACAGTTCTAACATCGATCACACCAGACAATTTCCCCCCTACACCGTTCTGCACTTCATGACCATATCATTCCATCTCACCCTAGGCGGAGCAACATCAGTACCACATCAAGATAAATCAGAGAGCTCCTCAAACTTCACCCACGTCCAAGGTATTCCCCTTCTAGCTGGCCCTGCCACGAACCAGCTCGTCGGCTCCCTTCACCCCGATAATCTCGACCTCGTCCCTCCCCCAGGATCCCTCGTCCAATGCCTCATTATCTCGCGCTGCCATACACCGATTTTCGGCTCTGCGCTGCTCGCACCAGGAGATGTAGAGCTAGAGAAACCGAGGAAGATGTTCTGGGTGCTTTATGTTGTTTGGAAGGGGGGGATTGCGGAGAGGCGTGGTGTTGGGCAGGTGCTAGGTGAGGTGCTTGAATTGACGGATGATAGGCCGGAGGTGAAGTTGGTGTTGCTTGGATGATGATTTACTTGATAAATACTAGTATATTCTATTCGCGTCTGAGGTTGAGCTAGGGGAGGGGTCTATTTGATTCTTTGCTAAATGTGACGATTAAGTCAACTTGACATATTTTCCTATTACAGAGGGGTTTGCTATAACTATCTCAAATTTTAAGGATGCAGAGCTAATAGCTTTTTTCAGTTACGAGGGAGTGGGATTACGCATCTACGTTATTCTAGGAAAGAGAAAGGAGAAAGGGTAATCGAGGCAGAGAGTAGAGGAAGCGATAGATTACTAAACTGCTGTTCAGAGAGGTCAGATGTTTGATAGCAAGTGAACTGAATAACTTATTATATAAATTTATATAGCTAAAGCAAAAGAGCTTGAGAAGGACTGACTGATTAGACACTCTGAATCTGATAATGCCAAGCTTAGGTAGTATTCACATAAAATACAGCCGGCCGTTGCAATGTAAAGTCGACACGGGTTCAGGCTATGTTTACGCAATCGCACCCTGGATTGTTCTTAATGCGGCGTGTTTGGCAGAGACAATCTATAGTTAAGATTGTGGTTGAATTAACCCAATTATGTTTGCCAAACAGGGCCTTGGCAAGTTTGATACTATTCACACTACTAAACATCCTCTATTCATTCAAAGATTGTCGATTTCCCTTATATGGACGTCGCGTCTACCTTGAAGAACAGTCCTTGCTCTTCAACATCAAAGAATTAATTGATATTTTCTTTTTCTGGGGCTGTGCAGGACAGGTACGAAGTACTCGAAGACCACAATAGGTGCTAGCAAGATCCGGGGTAACGATGACCTACCACTACAAGAAGGTCTCGCTGCTTTCGGGGCAGGGCAGGATGATTCTGATAACCATATGGGTTGAGTTGGTCCTAGGGACACTCATGATGAGCGCACGGATCTATACGAACCATTCCATTCTCCGGCTTTGAAAGTTTAGTTTCTGGCTGGTTCTGGTAGCATACGTAGGTCATGTCCACAATTCATACCCTGTCTGGCTTTGAGCTTTTGGGGGGTTCTCGAGTTGACGGCGCCGTTTAATTAGGTATTTGCTTTCGAAGCTACACTTCTCTGCACCGTCGCCATCTTCCGCGGCATCGGATCCCATGAAGCGGATCTCAATGCTCTCGATCCTAGATTAGCACCCCATTGCAAGTTACTGATCTTGGTTGCATCCAACTTCGCCATTCTGTCCGTCTCGTTCAGCAAAAACTCCATCGTGGCTTTTATTTTGGAGATCCAGGTATGTCAGTCACCTTCTCGGACGACTATTTTTCTCTCTCCTACTTGCTGCTTTGCATATTCCAGTAGCGGAGTTGATTTCTCCGAAGCAAAAGGCTTGAATCCCATGCACCCTTGTTACAACTCCAATTCCTACCAGACCAAGCAATACTGACTCCAGAATCCCGACGCAGGGCAGGACGGTCAAGCAAGGCCATGTATGGCTCTTGTGCTCTTTAGCTACCATCACTTTTGCCTTTGGCTTCGCGAACTTACCGCTCATGTGGGCTTCATGTTCCCCCATGGCAAAGATATGGGACGCGACTGTGCCGGGACACTGTGGGTTGCATTTTGCGACGAAATTCTTTGCCTACTGTGAAGGGAGTATGGCTTTCCTTCCATTTCCTGTATATTACTGGTACAATTACGGGGACAGTTGTATCGTACTGATACTGACTGTGTCATAGGCTTCGGGACTCTGATGGATTTCATACTAGCTTTGTATCCCATCACGCTGTTTTAGAACCTTCAGCTTCCACGGGGGAAAAAGGTCGGGCTGTCTATGCTGTTTGTCGTTGGTCTGATGTATGGTTTCATATATGGATACAGATTAGTTGAATAGCTGACACGGTATAGTGCTTGTGTTACCACTATTCTGAAAACCAGCAAACTGCACTTGCTGGCTGCTATGCATGATGTTACGTGTGAGTATCTTATCCCAGTTTGACCAGACCTGCTCGCCCCATTTCAGACTGTAGTACTAACCGTACTTCAGACCGTTATACATACCTTGTCGTATGGTTGGCGTAAGTTCTCATAAGAATGTTTCCCCGAACTCTGAAGTAAGACTAACTTTGTCGGAATCAGAACGGAGATGTGGGTTGTGATAGTCGTCTCTTGCGTCCCGCGCGTCCGCCCGCTCTTCGTCAAGCGGGCCAAGGACAGTACTGATAGCAACACTACTGCTACAATATCAAACTATCGACTCTCGACAATCCAATTACCAGAAAAAGCCAAAACCATTATCGAGGTGCTACACAAGGATATGGACTCAAGCGAGAGCTCGATGGGCCATAAGTATGATGGGAGGCGGGATACAATAGAACCGGGGATCATGGCGATGGCGAGAGAGTTGACACAGTCTGCAGATAGTATGTAGGGATAAGTCAAAGGAATTATGGGAGGATGGGTTGATGTTATATATAATTCTAGGACATCATATGCTACAATGTATGAAGCCCATATGTGCGAACATAGAGTGTTCTTCCGGGACAGGTCAGTTAGCAGAAGGATTGGATGGCGAAATGGAGGAAATGTAATGAGACTCATACTTACGATATATATACTGCCAACTGAAATATAAGGTAGTCTAGAGGCATACAACTATGCTCTCTACAAGTCTCTGCTAAGAGATGGAGATGGATGGATTAGATTGATAAGACGGTCCAGAGGTTACACAAGTATAGAATTGTTTGAGGGATGCGAAGGTAGACAAACTCATGATTAGACCTTCGCATCTCTGTTAATCGACTTTGGCGGTGGTTGTGCGCTCGAGTATGTAGAGATGGAACTTCAGGAGACCAAAGAAGGAGACTTGCAGGGTCTGAAGAAACCAAAATCAAGGCTGTTATTTTGATGAGCCACTCGTAGAATACACAGAGATACCCTGGCCCAAGTTAACAACTAGCTTACCTCGTGCAGAGCCATACATCTGTTTCATGCATGCTTTCATCGCAAAGACTTCTATAAACAGCTTACTAGTTCTTGCTTCAAATGCAATTTCGACGCCAAATAGCACCAATCAACAAAAACTGATATAATTTCGTGCGTCACTTGACGCTATCAGGGACATACAATTGGCAAACAAGTCACCTTGAGCTGATATCAGAATTGATAATTATTCTGAAATGTGTCTCACTCGGGTATAGAAAAAGGGATCACAGGTAATCAAGCAACCTTAACGCCGAAAACATATGGCTTACCATGCATGCAACGCTTTGTAATCATGACGCATGCCGCGTTTTGCAGTCCGCAAAAGCAAAGTTGATACGAAGTGAGAACAACAATTGAAATAACGCCGAGGGGTAGATGGGGTTGCTGGTATCAAGTACAGTACGCCGTATTAACGGGCTTAGCCGGCTTTAAGCTTTGACTCTACGGAGGTACAAAGAATGGAATGCCATCAATAGCGCTAACGTTTTCTTGTCCCGGTCCGTCCGGTACGCGTGAACCGAACTCACTGGAGGCGGATCAAGACTACTAACACCAACTCCGTATACTATTAGCAACGAACCGCCATCCACCATACCGAATGCGCTCCGAAAGCTGCCTTTTTGCGGGCCTTTAGAGAGAGTGCGAGCTCCCCCCTGTCGTCTGCTCGGAAAGTTTTTCCCAAGCCAGGACTGTTGATATGGGGTAATCTCTACTTTCGTCGGTAGTGTAGCTGAACAACATCCTCCGATACAAATGCGCCTGCCGGGATTACTAAGGTGCTGATTCAGTATATCCATGCCATGGCATGTATCGCCTAGATGAGTATATAGTGTATAAATAAGTATATGCTCTTCAGTCCGCTCTTTTCTAGTTGGGAATCTATAGCTACGCATACCGGAGCTAGTCCACCTTACCCCACTTTCCAGACACCGCAGAAAGCAGAAAATTATTTTATGAGACAAGAGAAACGAAGACCAGGACAATGGCAGAAGCAAGTGAAAAGTACGACGAGAAAGTCGAGTCTCCAGGCCAATCGACCCTCACATTACCTCCCTCCCAAGACCTCGAACCCGAGCGCGAATTCGCAGACATCACCTCGCCCTCGCGCCCACAATCCCAGGGACAGAGACCATCGTCTATCCACCGCACGATTACACACACGCGCTCGAACAACGGATATGGATGCGCTGAAGAGGACGGGAGTTCAGAAGATATAGAGGCGGTGGGTGTGGTAGAGAAGGATCCCTGGGAGGTCCATTGGGAGGGTGGGGATAGTGATCCTTTGAATCCGAGGAGTCTTAGTACGGCGAAGAAATGGGTGATTGTGATTATTGTAAGCATGAGCTCGCTTTGTGTGTGAGTAGTCCAATTTTATTTAGATTTGGGAACTCAATGGTGTCTAGCTGGTGGTACAATGGTGGCTAGGGAGTTGATATAGAAGATTCATGGGACGGGAGTCAGTCTGAGATGGAAATCAGCTGAGGCTTAAAAACATGCTGACTTATTGCTTACAGGACTTGCACTTCTTCCATCTACTCGTCCACATATGGGCAGATCACAAAGGAGTTTCATTGCTCCAGGATTGTAGCTACACTAGGACTTTCACTCTTCATCATGGGGCTTGGTATTGGCCCCATGTTACTTTCACCACTTTCGTACGTCCCAGAAACTTCTTTGATGAAGTCTACTGACCCCCTCTAGTGAGTTCTATGGTCGCAGACCGGTGTACCTGGTTTCGTTTAGCATGTTCTTCATATGGATCATTCCCTCTGCTGTAGCTCAAAATATCCAAACCATGCTAGTAGCCCGGTTTTTGGACGGGCTCTCTGGTAGCGCATTTTTGTCTGTAGCAGGAGGCACCGTTGGGGACATGTTCAACCGCGATCAACTTCAGCTTCCGATGTTGATATACACGGCATCTCCTTTCGTCGGACCATCTATCGGACCCCTCTTCGGAGGTTTCATTAACCAATACTCGACTTGGAGATGGACCTTCTACATGTTGCTTATCTGGTCAGGTGCAAATTTGGGACTAATTGTTCTTCTCGTCCCGGAAACCTACCACCCCGTCATGTTGAGAAACAAAGCTCAGAAAATGCGGAAAGAGACAGGAGATGAGCGTTGGAAGGCTCCGATGGAAAAAATGGACAAGTCAATTCCGAAGACAATCGCGCATTCGTTGAAACGCCCATTCCAGCTTTTGATTCTCGAACCTATGGTTACGAATCTCTGTCTATTCTCCGCTATCTTGTTGGGGATTCTGTACTTGTTCTTCGGAGCTTTCCCCGTTGTTTTTGAGGGCAAGCACGACTTCACACTGTCCCAGGTCGGATTAAGCTTCTTGGGCTTATTCGTCGGAATGTGTATGGGCGCACTTACTGATCCTTTCTGGCACAACAACTACGTCAGGCTTATCAAGCAACGGGAAGCAGCAACCGGTGAAGTCGGAGCCAGTGAGCCAGAATACAGACTTCCTCCGGCCATTGCTGGGGCTGTCCTGGTCCCTGCCGGAATCTTCCTGTTCGCTTGGACAACATATGCTTCGGTGCATTGGATTGTTCCTATCATCGGATCAAGCATTTTTGGCATGGGGTAAGTGACAGCTCTTTTATTCTGCATCATTTTTCAGCCCGAACGTTGAAAACAGGGAACTTTGATATGGCAAGGTCAAGCCTCCAAGTGGCGTCCAACACGAGTTGTACCTGCGTTGAATGCAGCCTCAATCACTGATTATCAAGCCATAAGAACCTGGTTATGATTTGGGTGTTCTCCCACACTGAATTGACAGCTTCTATGCGTCTGTTTAACGGCTGGCCGCTATTTTGAAACTATCCTCCCTAGTTTTGAAGGATTTCAAAGCAGCCTCCCGTGTATATCAATTCCCCCATCCCGTTTATCGACCTCACATGACACGTCGAATTGATGCACGTGGTGTCGTACAAAATGTCATCACGTCGCTGACCGCTTGGAACCTGCAGAACTCTCCTCGTCTTCAGTGGCATCTTCACCTTCCTCGTCGACGCATACCCTCTGTATGCAGCTAGCTCGTTGGCTGCGAATAGCTTCGCTAGAAGCAGCTTTGGTGGTAGGTACCTTCATCTCCACTTCCTTGCCGAGGCTGATCTGATTGATGAATTACAGCTGCATTCCCACTTTTTGGCGTACAGATGTACCACAAGCTGGGCGATCAATGGGCTACGAGTCTATTGGGCTTCTTAACGTTGGCCATGATGCCCTTCCCATACATATTTTTCAGATACGGAAAGAAGATTCGCGGCAAGAGCCGCTTTGCAACTGCTTAAGACTCGCAGGCGATAGGGGGGCGGGCAGGCAATATAAAAAGTATATAATTTTCATTTATTTGTCTGCGCATATTTGTAAGTATTGATGATTTGGCATGCATAGATAGCGAAGAGTAACGAGCCAAGGATTTCCAATTTTGGATAAGGGGTGTGAACTGCATGGGCACGAAGGTAATCAATCAGACTGTTCACCTACATACAGTACAGTACAGTACAGTATAGTTACATAGTACATACATACATACATACATAATACACATGTCACTCGACTCGAGATTTGAAGTTGTGCTTCCCGCTCCCCCTCGTCTTCCCAGCGCCTCCTGGTACGGTACGGAGTATGGCGTGCGGTTTTGACCAACTCCAGAATCTTATCTGGAATGGATGGATGGTGATGGGATGGGTTGGGGATTACCCAAGACATGGGAAGTGTCTCATCCCATCCCGGCGGAGTGGAGTGGGAGGACCGGTTGCACAACCGCACGACCCGCACGCCCCCCATGCACGACTCGAGTCATCTGATGGGCTGAACAGTGAACACATGCTTCTGAAACTTGGCTACCCTGTAACATGATTATGTCTGCGTGCTTATTGGCATGGCATGGTACTGGTACTGGTATTAGTATTGGTATTGATATTGATATTTGTATTGGCATTATCACACCTGAATGCGTGCACACGAACCACGACATTCACGACTTCTGTACTGTACCGTTTTCTACCATACCATACCATATGGCCCCTGCGGCTCGGCTGGCTTGCCTGCTCGTGCTCGTGGGTGGGGTGGGGTGGTTGTTACGGAGTACGAGATGTTGAGTAACGGGACGGGCGGGCATGAACCAGTGAGCAGTGAGCAGTGAGCAGTCGTTTTTAAGGGAGATGCATGGATGGATGGATGGTATGGATGGTATCGTGGGGTATGGTGGCGGGTGTGTAGGATGGAATGGAAGCCTAGGATGGGGATGGGATTTGGTAGGTACCTAGGTAGGTAGAGAGGTAGAGAGGTAGAGAGGTAGAAAGGTATAGGTTAGCCATGCAAGAGCATGTGACTACCTACTCTACTATGCTGATTATTATTATTGTTGTTAGTATTATTATCGTTCGTGCGACTAGTATAGTGGTCTATTGGGATGATACTTGTACGGAGTATGGGAATAACATGACGGGGACCCATCTGGATGGCTATCACATTTCATATGCAGCGTCTGTCTGTCTTGCCTGCAGTACAGTACCTTATGAAGAGAATAATATAACAGAATGAATCAAGCGTGGGAAACTACAACACATGATAACACATGCTTACGACTGTTACTGCTACTGCTGCCCCTCCATTTTTGAATCATCTTGGCGAAGGTAAATCTTCCTCCCCTCCACATGAAAGGGGGGTGAGTGAGTAACGTAATGCGTCTGGGTGGAGACCTGGCCTGGATTGGGAATCATTAGCGAGACATATATAATCCGTACCTACTCTACTGTATTACTGTATTACTGTATTACTGTACTTTACTGTATTGTAAATCCCAGTCCAGTCCCGCTGAACCGCGGCGTCAAGGTCAAGCTGTTTGTGACGAACGTCCACCTTCCACTGCAAATCTCACATCTGCAGTGGCAACACAAACAACGTTGCCGGCACGCGCAGACCCAATCCCTATCCCAAAGCCATACAGTAATCAAGTAGAGTAGTCTTTCAATTGTCCTACCACAATACGAGTATCAATCATATCACTCGTCTCGTCTATTGCGACCGCTCCTCCAATTCCCCTCCCCTTCCTCAATTGGGGGGGTCTTGCGAAGCCGACCGACCGACCAACCGACCGACCGACCGCATCCGCATCCGCAGCTCACCTCACCTCACCCACCGGCAAGCAAGCCAAGCCAAGCTCATACTGTAAACCGCATCCCAGCAAAGTAGACCCCGCCTCTCCACTCTTGAAGAGCTTTCTACCGTGGCGTGGACCCAATAATAACCGCCGCCCGTATTTCCTTCAATTGACGTTTACCTTTTTCTCAGCCGCAAGCTCAAACCTTACCTCCTTGCTGATCTGAATCAAACCTTCAAGCAAGAAACCAATATTCGAACGTCGCGACCACAATACGATACGAGTCGATACATGAAGAGGTGGCGCGCCGGCGCGGAGAAAAAGATTAGCTGCGTAGGGCAGGGAAGGCAATATTTGGGCATCAATGCCATTGTGGTGGAGATCTGGCGCGAGCGACTGGAAACTGGAATTGGTGGACGGCTACCTGCATCTACATCGCGTCGCACGACATTGAAATAATACGTCTCTATCTGCGCAAGGTGGAACAACTGGCAGGGAGCGAAAGAAACATATTGATTGATTGCAAGAACGAGGTGCCATCATTTCGATCTGCCAAATAAGCTGAGCAGCGACGCAAGAGGCGTACGAGCGCCGCGTGATCCTGGCCCTGTGCTGGGTGGACTTACATACAGTGGTGGTATTGGTCGGCGACCTTGAGTGGCAGCAGCAGGCGTGGCTCAACGTGGGACAGGCAGAGAACGCTGGGAGCTCTGGGAAATACGGTACGGTACGTCGCGCCGACTTGCTTGGGGAAAGAGGGCACGGAGAGGAAGGCAAGAGAGAAAAAAACAGTGATTCGTGTGAGAGACCGAGTAGTACAGCCGACTGGAAGTGTTGGAGGCCGCAGGACGAAACGACACAAGGCGGGACTGGTCGAGCAAGCGGGACAGACCGACGGGCCAGGCTAAACTTCTCTGCAGTACATGCGAACGCGTGCCTGTAGCCGGATAGGCACGCGGCGAAACGTGGTGGGCATTGCGAGGGGGCGGGTACTTGCTGCCTTCTGCTAGAGAGCTTCGGTGCGTTGCGCTGCTGCCGATACGCATTACTACGCACTGGTTTGCAGCAGATTGTGTTGTGCGTTGAGCCATTGTGCTAGGAATAGATACACTCGACGGGCAGACTTAAGGTTGTGGATCACGGCGTGGAGCATACCGAAGCAGGGGCTTGTCTACAGGTCCACGGCGTTCCAAGACAGCAGCTGAGGCCTGTATAAAAGAGCAAGGTCATCGTGCATTGTTAGCAACTCCGAGCGGTTCACGGCGCCTCTGGGAGCTGTACTTCCCTGCTCTGTGTTACGAGCCTCCTGCACAGGGGTCCGTTCCAGGGTTTAACGAGCGGGCGCTCTTGCTGGGGGGTATTTTATTGACGGAGTGTGGTTTCGCAAGGCCGCGACCTAGCCTGGGCATATTGACACCTCCAAATTAGGTATTTAGTCCAGCATGTCGGGAGATACTGAGATAGATGATCCTGAGGTTTCGGAAGGCGCCTCGGAGAATGAGTATAGTGAGCATGAACAAGACGACCCCGATGCTGTAGGTAGAGAGGAGGACGATAATACAGATATGGCCGAGCAGAAGTTCAGACCAGACGGGGAGGAAAATGGGAAGTCTGGATCGACAACAACAAAGCCAAAGTTAGATCCCAAAGATCCATTAAGACCAAGGAGAAAGAAAGCTAGAAGAGCTTGTTTTGCATGTCAAAGAGCTCACTTGACCTGTGGTATGTTTGCTTCCCATCAGATGAACTGCTTGGCTCTTCAGCTCACCAAAATTTCCTCAACCCCACCGACTTTCTTGTGCCTAACGACAGCTAACATGATAATAGGCGATGAGCGCCCTTGTCAACGTTGTATCAAACGAGGTCTAGCAGATGCTTGTCAAGATGGTGTCAGGAAAAAGGCTAAGTATCTTCATGATGCGCCTCCTGAAGCGCTTCGACCTGTGCTGGGTCCTAACTACAATCAAGTCAACAATTCTCGGTCCAACAATGGCCCTCCTACAACTAGTACTTCGGCTTCCGATACATCTCCTGGAGCCAGTGGCTTCTTTTCACAGGCTGATGTATCCCCGTCCTATCCTATCTACAACTCTCAGCAAAATCCAATGCCGCCTCCTTTACAAGCACGGCTTTCGTATGGAAGTCAACAATCCCCTTTATCGCCTACCTTTCAAAATCAAGTCAATCGACAAGCTGCAATGCAAGGGTTGTCATCAGTAAATCAAGGATCGGCAGACGTCCAGAACAATTTTGGTGGTGCGCTTTTCGATCCCAGCAATCCAGCCTTGTTCAACTTTGACCTAGAAGGTCTCAATTTTGGAAACCACTATGGTGCATTGGAATTCAGCGTTTTAGGACATATGTCCTCTGGAGCTGCTGAAACTCCATCAAAGGACTCGATATCGTCACAGGGTATGAACGGTGTTAGTTTTAACAACGGATCCGTATTTGGAAATAACATGGATCAATATGGTCAAATGTATCCCCAAGAGATGCTTTCAGAGTTTCATGGTATGGACGGACGGAACGCTGGCGGGATGTTCGCCCATAACATTCAGCATGGATTACCACATGCATACGCAATAGGAACCGGACCCACAAGTCACCACAGTCCAAGCACAGACGCAAGTCCAGGCGCGAGCGGAATGGGCTTCGAAAGCTCACCCACAACAACCGCACATACACCCACGGCAACGCCTCACCCCTACCGCGCACCTAAACGGCAGGACGCCAAACCCGGCCCAAGCCAAAGATTTGGCCCTTCCTCCGTCCTAGGAAAACGGACCCGCGACGCTTCATCCATCTACGACACCGTTCACGAACCTTACTCCTACACCGCTGGCTTCCACGGCCTGACTGCCTTCCTTCAACGGCGGTTCTCCCCCACCAAAACGCTCCGCATCGCCAAATCCCTCGCTTCCATCCGCCCCTCCTTCATCTCCTGCACTAAAGCCCTCAATCGCCAAGACCTAATATTCATGGAAAAGTGTTTCCAGCGCACTCTATTCGAGTATGAGGAATTCATGCACAATTGCTGCACGCCCACCCTCGTGTGTCGACGTACTGGCGAAGTGGCAGCTGTGAATACGGAGTTTACGCTGTTGACGGGTTGGCGGAAGGAGGTCTTGCTCGGCAAAGAAGCGAATCTGAATATCAACACTGGGAAGAGTATAGATAGTTCCGGCCCGAGCAGTCTAGGTAACTCACGGCTTGCGACGCCCCGAATGCGCCCTCTTAGTCTAGCCGATACCCAAGGCAAGGACGGGAAACCACAGCCGGTATTCCTAGCCGAGCTCCTCGACGACGATTCCGTCATCGAGTTCTACGAAGATTTCGCGAAGCTGGCGTTTGGTGATAGTAGGGGTAGTGTTACGACGCGTTGTAGGCTCCTGAAATACCAGACCAAGGAAAATATGGAGGGTAGTCCCGAATCCACCAAAGGCGATGAGAAGAATAAGCAGAAGGAACGGACGCCTGGTGGAATTGGCGGCATGGGGAATCGGGTGAGGGAGATTGATGGCGAGCATGGGATTGGCCGCCTCGAGAGGGATGGGAAGATGGATTGTAGTTATTGCTGGACGGTCAAGAGGGATGTTTTTGATATTCCCATGTTGATCGTTATGAACGTAAGTATTCCTTCCCTTTCCCCATACGATTTATTTTCTTTTCTTGAAGATTTTGCTAATATAATGCCGTGTCATGCAGTTCCTCCCTTGCATCTAACCCCCCTTGCTCTCTTTCTCCCTCTCTCAACAATACTGCCACACAGTATACCTTCCTTCTTTCTGTCTTTCTCTTTCTTGGATTATATTATACTAGGCTTGGTATAGATAGCATAGCATAGCATGGAAACCGGCGCTGATGGGGTTAGGGGCCTGGAGGGCTGGAGGGGTTATACACGGGGATGGGCAAACATGGGATGGGATGGGACTGGTGCATGATAGATTGGACATTGATCCTTTCCTCTCGGTGGCGTTTTGGACTTTGGAATTCTGGTTTCTTTGGAATGTGATGTATGTGGTTGGATGTGGTGATCAAAAGGTAGAAAGGGGTTGTGGATGGTGGTAGAGCGTAGAGGGTGGAGGGTGCGACGTAAACGTGCAATTGACTTGCAGTGAAAGCTTGTGGATACGAATATACGCACGCGGCTTGTTTTTGCGGGGAGGCAAAAGTTATACAAATACAATACAAATACAAAACAGATACAAATGCAAATATACATACAGATACGATTATAGATACATGATGGTAAGTAAGTACCTAGGTTATGAACGAATATGAATAATATATCTAATATATAAGAACTCCCAAATTTACATCTCCTTCTCCTTCTCCTTCCGCTCCTCTCGCGCTCCTACTTAAAAAATATCATTTTGTTTTTCTACCCTAGCCTTCTTATTCTAAGTTTCTGGCACAGGGAGACGGGACGGGACGCTTGAAGATCTCGTTTCCTTCCACTTCCCCACGCCCCCACTATTTAAGTGGATCCGCGAGAGGATTTGGGATGTGAGCTGCGAATCGCGACGTGCAACAAAAGTTGACGAGCGAATGAATGGGCTGATGTGGATAGGTATGAAAGGCAGGTAGGTGGGTGGAATTGAGGGATAAATACCTTACGGAGGGGGCCTTAGCTGGTACTAGGTTAAGAAGATACTCTGCGGAGGGGTGGGACTTATTTGCTTATATATATTCTGTAGGAAAAGGGTTCATGCTGTCGGTATAGAACCCTAGGTAGTATAGTGCTGTTCTATAGGTAGTTTGAATTGTATTAAGTTTGCGCGGCGTTTGATGGTGGGTTTGATTTGGAGGCTGGTATTAATGTATACTTGGACTTGGATGTATATCCTAAGTATTAGGGTAAGGTCATTCATTGGTGTTTGATAGATTCACAAGATCGATTTACAATGAAAGTCCACAGGTAGAGGAATTGCGACCCTGGTCCCTGATTCAGTTCCTTCTACTCTTCGGGCCAACAATAGATATCGTGTCACAGTTGTCAATCTATACTAGGACGAGCAATAATTCGCCCAGGCCAATTGATAGAGAATTCACAGCCTACTATTAACTTGCCCCTCCTCAAAAAGCACAAAATCCCATCTCACCCCCAACATCTCCACAGCTCCATCACCCCCCAACACACCCATCCGCTTCGCCCTAATCAGCATATCACCCAGCGCAATTTGTCCTTCCACGCCAATACATATCTCCACCAATCCTCCAGCCTGCCCATGTATCCCCGGTACGAAGTCCAGTCTCGCGTTTACAAACTCGTTCTCTCCTCCCCGCTTCCCGCGCACTACGCCGAACACATCTTCCCATTGCCGTGCCGCACCCTCTACACCGTCGTCTCCGGGCGCGAGTCGACACGTAGCGGATAGTAAATGTAAATCGGAGTGCCGTTTCATGCCAGCGGCGTAATCTGCATATGAGGTGCGCGGTCCGCAGGCGTGCCAGGGGGAGAAGCTGGTTTGTAATGGCGTGGGGTTTGTAAGGGAGGGGGAGTGCGAGTCGAGTTCGGGGATTATGCCACCTATATTCACCAAATACTGTTAGCTACAATGCGAGTACTTGCGACAAACAGAAGATGTCTATTTCAGCCTGACTTGGGTGGCAGAGAAATCGCGTACCCGTAATCCCTTTTGGATGATACTGAACGCAGACGGAATCCTCACTTTCATGATTAAGGATTACCTGCGCCAGCTTATTCGACTGCAGATAGTCTCGCCGTGCAGAGGCATCTTCGGTCTGCATGATAATCATGTATCCGCCATCCCCGCGTTTTGAGAGCAGTCTGCCAGCAGTTGTGTTTGGCTTAAAGGGCGAAACGACCTTGCTTGCTTCCATTAGCCTTGAGCTATATAAAAACTACATCATTTGTCAAGACTTACCTCAATAACATCACCTCCTATGGGAACTACGAAGTCATTAGAAAAAGAGTTAATTAGTAGCTTCGTGAAGCCATGTACCAAGTATGTTCCTCAGTCCCCATTGCTCAACCAGAGGATCTCGAAAGATAACCTCCGTTCCAATGACCGTTATCTGTTCTCCATTTAGCCCTCCTTTGGACAGTCTATTTTTGTATCCGGCATACTAGCAGATCCTTTGCACGTTCTAGATCCGAGGCCACGAGTGCGATTTGGCGGAGACGCGTTGGTGCTGGTGGCATTCGCGCCTGGGGTTTCGTTTGTGGCATTTTGAACCGGGCTGGGATTAATTTGGATCTATATGAAACGTATAGCAAACATAATCACATCAGGAGAATGGCTGTGAAGCCATTTACTTGGATATAAAATATGCGGATCAGTAAAATATGGTCGTCGTCGTCGTTGTTCTTCGGTGCCTCGGCTGCCGGTTAAAGTTTCCCCCGCCCCCATCTTTAGTGTGCGCTAGACATCTACACCTCCTGTAGGTAGTAGGTGGCACACAACAACATCAATTACTTTTCTGTGAGATATCAAAGGGCCATTATCTAATCTACCGAGTATCATTATCCTCCAGTTTGCCCAAAGAACTGCATTCCCATCTTCGCTCACTCCCAGCGCCATCCATCTATCCTACTTAAACCCCCCCAAAAAAAGAGCTTAAGCCGTCTCGACAAGTCTCACCATGTCTAAGACCAAGTACCAAGATATCATCCTAACCATAGAAGGTCAAATCGGAATCATTAAAGTATCTCCCGCCCTCTTCTTTCCAGAATATCAAAATAACAATATATAGTTTAACCGTCCTAAATCCCTCAATTCATTCGGCGGCAAGCTCATGGCGGAGACAACTGCAGCCATGCGTGAATTGAATGATCATCCTGACACCGTTTTCACGGTTCTTACTGGAGAAGGAAGATTCTTCTCAGCTGGTGCTGATGTGAGGGGTAAGCTTCGTCTTTAACGTTATTATAGCTTGGAAATAAATGCTGATGAAGTGTGTCCAAGGTTCTGGATTAGATTCCGACGAGACATATGCCAATGATGCCGAGAAAAAGTTGGCATATATTACTCGCTTTGCCCCAGGTATATAATCCCTTTATTATTTTCTATCCCTCCCTCTTCCATGTATCCAATTCTTGGCATCTTTCCATTTCCCGTACTCACGTGCACTGCATTCCCTAGGTCTCGAAATGCTCCGCAGTATAATCGACCATAAAAAAGTATTCGTCGTAGCCCTCAATGGCCCAGCTGTAGGCGGCGGCGCAGCCTGGTTCACAGGGAGTTCTGACATCCTGCTCGCCTCGACCTCGACCTATCTGCAGATAAACTTCTCCTCCCTCGGCCTAGTCCCCGAATATGGCTCCGCCATCAACCTGGCGCAAAGCATGGGCGTGCACCGCGCCAACGAGATGCTGATGTTTGGACGCAAGCTTACTGCTGAGGAATTGCAGCAGTATGGTATGGTGAACCATATCTTCCCTGCGGAGGGCTTCCAGGAGAGCGTCAAGGGCTTCTTAGAAGAGCAATTGAGGACTAATGATGGGAAGAGTATGATTGAGGTTAAGAGGCTGCAGAATGCGCCCCTGAGGGATGGGAGGTTGGTTGCTGTGGCTAATGCTATGGATGCGCTGGCTGAGAGGTTCGTGGATGGAGCTCCAAGGGCGAGGTTTGCGGAGAAGAAGAAGCAGTTGGAAGGTATGTCGTCTTTCTTTCTGTGTTATTGCTGGGCTTGCTGACATAATGTGATGTACAGCCAATTCTAAGAAACGGGCGTCAAAAATTTAGGTGGTAATACAATCAATGTATAAGTACTTCCTTCTATATCCCAGCCAATCACAGAGAACATCATATCAACCCTCCGCCTGGTCTTAAGTCCCATATTCAATACAGCGTTTTGCCCGTGGCACTTTACAACATCCGGAAACGCAGAGCTAAAAAGCGGAGCTATTTATTGTAAAAGAACGATCATTGTCTCGACACAAAAACGAATGCCAATTTTAGACCTATGATATTCTAACATCTCCAGGAGCACCAAGACCGACCGACCGACCATTGGCTCAAAGTATCACAACCCCGACCACCAACTCGTCTCCGCCACCTCAAACGAAGCATTCAACGGCGTGTTCGCACTGGAATTTCCAACAAGAACATCATAAACCCCACTCTCCTCAATCCACTGATCCCGCTCTTCGTCCCAGAAGCTCGTAGCGTATTTCCTCTCAATCACCACTTCGACTTTCTTCCGTGACCCCTTCTCAACGCGCACTTTTTGAAACCCTTTCAATTCCTTCACTGGTCGTCTGATGGAGGGATCTTGCTGCGTGAGATAGACTTGCACGACTTCACTGCCGTCGACCGAGCCGGTATTTTCCACGCTCGCGCTGATTATAAGTGACTTGTCGTCCACAGCGACGTGCAAATCAGACAACGCGAAAGTAGTATACGAGAGACCCCAGCCAAACGGCCACGAGACGGCTTTCTTCGTCGCTTCGTAATACCGGTATCCGACATAGATGTCCTCGCTGTAGAGCACACGGCCGCGCTCTGATCGGTAGCTCAAGTACGCGGGGTTGTCCTCGACTTGCTTGGGGAATGATAGCGATAGCTTGCCAGAGGGGTTCACGTCTCCGTATAGGATATCGGCAATGGCGTTTCCGGTTTCGTTGCCGCCGTACCAGGCCTGTACGACTGCTGCGACGTCGTTCGCCCATGGCATGGCGACGGGGGTTCCGGACTGTACTACGACCACGGTCTTGGGGTTTGCAGCCGCTACGGCTGCGACCAAGGCGTCTGTGTGTTCTGGTAGATCCATGTGAGGACGATCATGTCCTTCTTGCTCCCAGTCCGAGTTCAATCCCACGCATAAGACCACCTGATCGACCGACTTTGCAAGCTCAACGGCCTTTTTAATCTCCTCTTCCACATTGATGACTCTCGCGCCACCAATTCTTAAACCACCACCGCCGAACGACACAACACCATCGGCCTCGGCGAGCTTCGAAGTAACGCCACTCGCCCACTGAACCTTGATTTTGTAAGTCTTGCCCGCCTCGACATGTTTAATGCCCGTCTCCTCTACAGTTCCAACATTGAAGAAGCTCCCACCAGGCCGCTGTGTTGTCTCATTATCAACCAAGACCTCACCATCTACATACAGCTTCCCCGTCCCATGAACAGTCAATCCAAACTCAAACTCACAGCTCTCGTCAGGCATGAAGTACGCTTCTACTTCAGCCCACCACAGATTCTCCGTCAGTTTGGGGTGCGTGTAATCAGAGAGGTACATATTAGTGTCCACGATCTCGATGGTGTCGACGGGTACGCGGTCTGTAACTGTGGGTGGTGATGTAAAGGCCTTGAAAACAACGCCGGGCTTGCCGTCAGCCGTCTTTACTTGGGCCCCGAGACCGGGGAGCATCTTGTGCGCGTAACAGCCCGTGGAGTATTTTACGGAGCCGCCTTTGCCGGATATGCCGTCGAAGGGCGTGATGGCGTAGTATGGATTTAAAGTCGCGGAACCCCCGCCACAATATGCGGCTGCCTTCGCAGCAGGCCCGATGATAGCTACCTGGCAAGATATTAGAATTTGCTAGCATTCGCGGCAAGATTTTAGGTCAACTTACCGTCTCGGTCTTCTTGAATGGAAGAGCGTTACTCTCATTTTTGAGTAGAACTATCGATTCGGAACCAATCTTCCTCAGGAGCGCGGCCGTCTCAGGGGTATTTTGTGATTTTTCGGGTGCATTCTCAGGAACACCGGAATCTCGGACTCGATTTGATAGCTTGAGAACTTCTCGCACGCGAAGATCCAAAGTATGCTCTGTTATCTTCTTGGAAAGAAGAGCGTGTTCCAGAATTCCGCCCCGCCATCTGGTTGGGCCGGGCATTTCTAGATCAAGGCCCGCGTTGATTGCTCCGGAAGTAGAGTAAGTGCCGAACCTGAATACAATATATGTCAGTTCTTGGTCTCAAGTACGAACACAAAGCTTCGCATAAGGGGACGAAACCCACCAATCACTCATAATCAACCCCTCCCACCCCCACTCCCCCCTTAAAACATCCTGCAAAATCCTCCTATTCTCACTCAGATGCACCCCGTTCAACTTATTATACGCCGTCATAAAACTCCCCGGCCTCGAATCCCTAACCGCAATCTGAAACGGCAACAAATAAATCTCCCTCAAGGCACGTTCCGTAACCCTAGAATCAACAGCCATCCGCTCATGTTCTTGGTCGTTGGTAACAAAATGCTTAATCGAAGCCACAACCCCAGTCGTCTGTACGCCATTCACAATAGCCGCTGCAGCGAAACCGGCTAAAACTGGATCTTCGGAAAACGATTCGAAGCCCCGGCCACCCAGCGGACTGCGTTGCATATTCACAGTTGGTCCGAGCAGCACGTGAGCGCCTTTGAGCTTGGCTTCTTCACCCATTAGCACACCAGCCTTTTGGAGGAGGTCGACATCCCAAGTTGCGGCGAGGGCGGTTCCGTTGGGGAAGCAGGCTGCGGGGGCGCCGTTGAAGAATCTGGTGCCGCGGACACCATTGGGGCCGTCTGAGAGACGGAGGGAGGGGACATTGAGGCGGGGAATGGCTTTCGTGTGCCAGAAATCGATGCCTGTATCCTTGATCAGTTTAGAGGCGAGCAAGGGAAAGTCGTTAAAAATCACCTGCGGTCAAAGCTGCTTTTTCAGTTTTGGTGAGCTTCTTTAGAACATCTTCAACGTCGAGGAGCTGGATTGGTGATGGATGCGGTTGTGATCCGCTGACGTCGCCCATGATGAGTGATGTTTTGGTATCAATTAACCAGAATAGATGAAATTAGAAGTATAGGAAAGAGAAAGTAAAAAGAGCAAAGACGTCGGTAAGAGGAGCTCATATGAGGAATAGCTTTTGACCCTGACCTTGACCCTGGCTGGCCATGACCCGAGGTGGAAGTTTCCGATATGCCGTCAGAAGTTTCGGGGAATCTGCGGCACAACAAAACGAGTCCGCACGGGTTCCCGGCTTGCGATGAAGTCATTCGCTGAGTATGGAAGTTTCCCCATAAAATGAGACTATCATGAAAGATCTGGGGCTCTGATAAGCGGAAACGAGGCCCGATGAGCCACTACCCCGCCGCCCCTTACTTTTAGCGAAGTAAGAAACCTCCCACTAAATGATATACCCGAAGTTCTGCCCTGCACTCTCAATGGCTCGCTCTTGGCAAAAGAACCTCCACACTGTGCTTCGTGATCTATGCTGACATCTACTGTTGGATGAGGGCAAGACACGTACCCCCGGGAGATCCGTTGCGTGCCGCAGGAATACTTTGGATACACCCGGAAGAAGGTTTGTTGGATTGTATCTCGGTTGTACACTAACGACTCGTCGTTTGCAATAAGGCTGAAGCAGGTCTGAAAATAGGTAGCTGGTTCTTTCACAGCATTAGTCGTCCTCCTGATATCGCAACTTACTGTCATCTTGCAGTATGAAGCTGCTAGTGGAGGTGCTCATTCATCGTCACCAAGCGACGTGTTTTGTCTGAAGTGTTGAAGTGTCTTCCGTTCAATTCGAATTTGCACAACATGTATCTTATATATTCCATATAAATAGCTCCATGCGGGAATAAGAATTGCCAAAACGTCTCTCGAAAGATTGCGCCATAAATACGGGGTATCTCATCATGCTTCATAAATCATCATTATATCTCTGCAAGTATAAGAACCTGTTTCGCAATCGTCTCACTCGCCTGCCGTTCCCTCAAACGCCCCAACCTCTCTACCATATTTTTCGGGAACCTCGCTCTATACTTTTCCGGTATGACCTTCTGCCTCACAATCAAAATCGGATCCGCATTTGCGTTCGTCAACCACACTTTAGCAATCATATTTGAGCCCGATTTCCCAATCCAGTAACTGACTTGGTGCTGCAGGTTGAATGGCGTGAGTGTTGCTGCGATGGTTGTTGGTTCACAGTTGGAAAGCTGTGGGAAGACTGCTGTGTCCAGCAGGTTGCTGACATTGTGCCAGGGCTCAACTTCAAGGCAGCGGCATTTATGTTTGTCACTTTGGAGACACAGCGGGGCGATGCATGCAAAGGTTGCGCAGTCTTCTGAGTCGGCGAGGATGCGTGCCCATAGGCTTGTCTTTTCGCAACGTAGGCGGAGGCTTGAATGCGGACTTTCTTTTCGTACCCATGCAATCACAAGCTCTTCGCCATTCTTGTCGATTCCAGTGTCTTTTAGTACCTCTAGCATAGATCGTACGATCTGTATTACGCTATCTCGCTGTTCTCTTGTGAGGTTTTCGAACCACTGTTCTAAGTCATTTGTCCGGAAGTTTTCCACGATATTGCATCTCGTCTTGAGGTCTTCCCAGTGGGCGGGTCTTTGGATCCGTGGCTCGACGAACGCCACCATTACATCGGCAAGAAGCTCACAGAGAGCAACTCGCCTTGCAACTCCCGTGCAAAAGCTAACCTGAAGCCTGCATGTCGAATTGAGAAACGCTAGATCGATCTCGTTGAAAGGAAGCACCAATTGCTGTTGCTTCAATGTGACACCATTTTGCTTTACGTATATAGCGTTGAATTGGAGAACGGCGTACTGTCCACCTTTTAACCCTGCTTGTCTCTCTCGAAGCTCCCAGCTACAGCCATAGGTCCCAAGGTGCTTTAGATATCCATTTGTCGTTGGATGGCGCCAGCTTTTGGTCTCGTCCAATGGACAATTCCTGTTAATTGTGGTACCACCTATTAATATTTTCTCTTTCGAGTCGAAACTTTCTTGTCGTTTGAATAAAAGCTTTGCCCCAAACTCCAATGGAATTTTTCGGGATCTCCGATCATGCGAGCTATGGTCCCTCCACCAATCTCAATCTCTTGTAGTGCTCGAGGGCCCATCTTCAAATCTGCGATAAATCTCGCGGGACCCCAAGTTTCTGCAATATCTTCTGGGCTTGCTAGAAGGTCAAATTCTTTGGCGAAAAGGGTATCAAAGGAGTGTCTGAACACCAAGGCCGAATCGCCGACCATGTCCTTCATACAAGTGAAGTCAAGCAGCTCGACTACTACATACCCTGAACCCAAATTCGTTTGTTCCAAAGTCTGGCTTCCTAGAAGATGTATTTTTTTCAACTCTTTCACCAGATATCTTGGATGTAGCCCACCAATATGAGCTTGAACATAGCTCAGAATTGCCACAAATAGACATTGAACAATCAACTCAAAATCGGGAACTCTAATGTGAAAGTAGTTGTCGAAATAGGCGGCGTTTCCGATTAAAAGTCTAAAGATCTGCCGTGCACAGATATTACAAGTTGACACATCATTTTTCCAATCCATCAAGGCGTAATAAAAGCCTCTTAGAAGGTGAATATCGATATTGCATAATCGAATGCGATCTTTGTGTGAAATTCGCAATATGCTAATTGAGTCACAGCAAAGTCCACTCGCTTGAAGAAATCCAATAGCGTGCATGATCCTGTCCATATCGTATATAAGCTGCGAGATAAGACTGACCTCTGGTTTCCTCTCGGTGTTCTCCGAAGTGCTGATCCAAGCGCAGGAATTCGCATCTTCAAATTGAACGTACGAAGTATTAGACCAAAAATCCTCGACTTCGAGAGGTAAGATACCAGCAATTCCACAGTATTCACTAATTATCTCTTTCGCTTTCTTTCCCGGTATTTCAAGTGGATGAGAATGTCTGATCTGAGGGGAGCTACTAACTTCGTGGCCTCCTTGATGTACGCAATTTTCCTGATGGAATTTGTCGAGCATTTCAGTCTTCATTAGTGATGGGGGTGCAATGCGAATCCAAGGCGACTCCTTCTCGCCGTCAATAAGAAGCTTTGCCATTTCCGCACAACTGCACCCGATATCCAATAGTTCGTGAAGCCAGTCGAAGTCTTCTTGCGCTACCTGCAAGAGAGGGAAGGTTAGTTTCTCGACAGTATATTCTGAGAACAGAACTTTAGACTTGAAACTGCTATAAAACTTTTCATAAAGTTTGCTACCTGATAAGACACGGCGCGAAAATGAAATATATCGAAGGGCGTGTAAACGGCAACTCACATCTTCAAAATGCTCTTCCAAAAGCTGACAGACAGGGTAATACCTCCCTTGACCACTAGTTCTTGCAGCGTATGTGCTGTGGGTCGATTTTCAAAACCAGAAGCCTCGAATTTACGCTGAACTACAGCATGTGTATTCCTGTCTGAAAATTTGCATGAATGATAAGAAACTGGTCGAGCGTTTGCTTCATGATTTGCGTCTCTCTTGTCGGCTGGCCCTGGAATTCCATACAGAGGTTTGGATGGACTTCTTCTTTTCTTGTCGTCTCGCCGGCTTGTTTGAAGTTTTGATTCTTTAGTGCTGAGCCTTAAGTTAGAATTATCTTTCACTTCGGAGCTCTGTTTGGTCTCTGGCAACTGGTTGCGCTTCTTCTGATCCTTCTTGCTTAACGTGGGCTTAAAATAGTCGTCTAGTTCCTCTGCCTTTATTGGTGGTGTTTCCTCGAAAGTTGCCATACCATCTCTTTGTCTCTTGTAACCTTATTGCGCTGCTTCTGTTCTTTCCTGTCTTTGCTTCCCAACTTAGGAGACGAGTCATCGCTGTCGGTCAAGTGGCCAGGCCAATCTTCAGGTCCGCCTCGAAGTGATTTCCGAAATGCTTTTTCTCTCCTGGGCCAATGTAGTCTCCAGAGGCACAAGGTCGGCCATGTCATGTTCTAATTGTTCACTGTATTGTGCCGTCCCCAAATTTAAGTCAACTCCCGAGCCAAAATGCGTGCTCGAAGATCTGGCTCTCGACGTAATACTCGCGCGTCCGACAGAATCGTTCGGCTTCGGTCTATTAGAGTCCTCATTTTGACGACCGGCTCTTGCAATCGAATCACTAGCCCCATATCTAATTCGTGACTTCGATCGTTCACGACTCCATGGACTCCATGGGGGTGACTCACTTCTGAAGTGCTCAACGGAGTTGTATTGGGAATGATCGGCTAGGCCATCTCGACCGAAAGAAAGGCTATTCAGATTCCTCGGTGCCTCTGACTTCCAATCTGGTGCCATGGCAATTGGGACCCAATTTTGAGGCAGCTGTCTTGTCCCTTCCCTTAATTGTGCCCCAAGAGAGTTCTTCGAGTAGCCTAATGTAATATCGCTGTTATGAAGAGTATAACCATTGAGATTTATCAACGCTATCGCAGCATGGGTAATACGTTCAAATTCAACAAAACAAGTCGGCGCATTATGCTTAGTTCTAAAGCATAGGCGTTTATAGCCAGCCTGCTTTGAGAAATCTCCTTAAGCTCATCTTCAGAGGTGTCGAGATGGAGATTTCCCACGTATAAAGTATTGCAGGGAGGGTGTTTGTCGGTGGGGTAGACTGACGGAAGGTCTGCAGAGTCGTCAGGCTGCGGCTGGCTATCCTCTTCGAATTCCGTCGCTCTCGTCGCAATGTCGTACTGCCAGCCGGTTTCCGCAGGAGAGCTGGGCACCCGCAAAACAGGGCGTTCCAAAGGAGAGGACCCATCATCACTGCTGCGTAATGCAGGTAGTGGGGGTGTAATGGAAGAGGCGGTATCTTGGTCGAGTCTTTGCGACCCTGGTGCATTCTGTGCCTGTCAGCATTGTTTACATCACTCGGGAATAGTAGATACAAACCATGGCGGGAAGAATACTATGATATATATATGGTAGGATAGAAAATTAAAAGGGACTACAGAGGAATCTGTGAGCGAAGACATAATCCTGAATGCTGTGCTGCAAAGTGCTGGTGAGGTGGCATCAGGTGAGGCTGCTGAGTATTTCCATGCAGACCCCTCTACCGAGTATTCTAGCTTCTCCTTCAACATACCGACACAACTCCTCGCCTCCTTGCGACATTGATATAAAACCCAATACAAAATGACATTTTGTTGAGCCGACAGTTGATTGTAATCTGTTCCTCTCTCTTTTGCTAATGTGTCATTGATCTTCCATCTCGGGTTAGCCAAGAGAAGAGATTGTGCGACTCTGAATACAATAGTCTCTGTTGGTATCACATGGGGTGATCACTCCTCACTAGCTCGTAGCTTGTAAGACTTGACTCTATTCTGCTGTTCGTTCATGATGTCTAGAAGCTATCGTGTGTTGCAGGACGAAGAGGAGAGGCTATGCCTTCTTCGCTTACGTCAGCTGCGGCAAGTCACATGACTAGAATGTTCCGCAACCATTACCCGATAGTCTCGACAGTCTCCTTGTCAGTCCCGAACCTGCGCTGAAAAAGCAAGTCCCTGGCGCCGTTTTCATCCTTGTTGACGTTACAATCCTCGGTTCTCACATGCCCGAGAGCTCGGTCTTGGGTGAGGGAAGATGGTACAGTACAGTCGTCTAGCCACCTTCCCCCCCTTAATCCCCGCACTACCTCTACCAGTACTGTCGCTATTCAAAACGCGCGATGTAACAAAACACAAGATATGGGTTAGATGGTGTGGTTTAAAACCTGGATTTGGTAGGTTAGTCGTTTCTTAAATTACGCTAGCTGTTATATTTTGATTTCGTGGTATAGGGCAAGCTCAATTATCTATTGGAATTTGCGACTCGTACGTAGTGCGTTTTAAATAGCGACACTACTTGAAATGTTACTCCAGAATACCAAATAGTTCTAGGTCTCAAGGATTATCCGGCCACAGTTGAGGTGCTTGCCACGATAAGAGCCCAAGATCTCCCAGATGTCTTTTTTTTTTTGGTCTGCGATTGTAATAGAAATTTCTACTTGGTACATTTAGTCCACACCCAATGACTGGTCCAATGTCATCCAGCGAGAAGTCTACAAGAAGCAGTGGTGAAGAGCGTGGGCAGAAGAAAATCCTTCTTCTTACAAGCAGCGAATATGGCCAAGCCAATGTCATCCTAGCGGTTGCTTACGAGCTACTCCTGCGTCGAAAGTATCAAGTTCACTTCGCATCCTTTGCACCCCTCGAAGGTCGTATCAGAGAACTCAACGAGCTAGCCGCAACGGACGATTCAACAGCCGCTTTATTCCACACCGTTCCAGGTCCTTCATCTTCTGAAGCTCTGGCTGCCAAAGATGATTTCATAGGACCATACCCCCCTGGAATTCGAGGAGCTTTAGATACGTATCGAGTGACTCTTCCAGCAATAGCTAATACTTGGGATGAGCGTGAATACATGCTGGGCTACGAGAGTTGTATACACATTTTGCAAGCTGTCAATCCCGATATAATCGTGGCCGATCCCCTCTTCAGCCAAGGACTCGATGCCTGCTTGAAAATATCACGGAAGTGCGTTATCCTGAGTCCGAATACGTTTCAAGATATTCTTCGCAAGAGGCAGCCACTGTCTAGACTTCAGTTTTTTCTATATCCAGCGTAAGTATACACACACTTTCCAGGCCACCGGTACTGAGTGTCATAGTATCTCATCCGCATACCCATATCCCGTTCCCTGGCATCTCATCCCAGCAAACATCTACCTCAAAACCCGTCTGATTTTGACCCTCATCACATCCCCCACAGTCAGGGCCCTCATGTCATGGCGCAAAGCTCAAAATATCCCCGCCCTACCGCCAGTCTTCAACATCTGGCAAAAGGAGAACCACTACCTAGTGCCCTCAATTCCCGAGACCGACTTTCCATGCTACCTCGAGTCCAATGTCACTGCCTGCGGACCGATTTTGCTTCCATTCTCGTTGGTGTCGGAAACAGACCCGGAGCTTCAGGCGTGGCTTATGCGTTGTCCTACCGTGCTGATTAATCTTGGGTCACACATCCGAATGGATGGATCTATGGCGCGGCAATTTGCAGCAAGTCTGAAGCAGTTACTTCACAACAGACCTGATATTCAAGTTCTATGGAAATTGAAGGCTCCCGGCGCATCAGCATTTCAAAATGGGACGAATTCGAAACTAAATCTAGAGGGCGGTTTTCGGGCCACTGGACTGGAAGAAGGACCACTAGATGCAATTTCGAATGAGCTCGCTGCAGGAAGGGTCAAAGTGCTAGAATGGCTTTCGGTAGATCCATTAGCTGTGTTACAAACCGGTCGTGTGATTTGTTCTGTGCATCACGGAGGCTCGAATTCTTTCCACGAAGCTCTGAGGTACCTGATAATCTGTGTCCTTCCCTTGGTTACAACTAACCATTCCTAGTGCTGGAGTGCCACAGATCGTCCTGCCCTGCTGGCTCGATACCTTCGAGTTTGCCAACCGCGTCGAGTACTTGGGTATTGGCATCTACGGAAGTCGAAGCGCTGCACCTAGTGTCGAGGCTGCAGAATTGGCTAGAGCTTTTTCGCGAGTATTGGGGCACGGTGGGGAAGCTTTGAGGATGAGGCAGAAAGCCAAAGAGCTGGCGGAGATCAGTGGGAGATTTGGCGGGCGCGCGAAAGCGTGTGAGAAGATCATCAAGCTTTTGGAGCGCATATGATCCAACCTTACTATATCAGATATGGTTCTCTTTCACGACTACTGATTTGTACTCCACCATGTTCCTTTCATGTTCTTTTTCCCAATATGAATGATGAGTCTACCTGTGTACAGAAGTACAGAGTTTCTTTTTCCAGCAAGTCGATCGCAAGATCATAACTTGGAATCCGTTTCCACTCGAACAGAAATATGGAAATACGGAAATACCCAAGACGATCGAAATATTCCCTGATTTGCAATTCGATCTTTCGGTTCTTTTCCTTCCTCCTGAAGAAGACCCTCATCACATGACTCTCCTCCCCCACTATCCCTGGCCTACCCTACCCCTACCTACCCGCGCCGCAACGCATCGCATCGCATCGCATCTTCACGTCAACTCCGATTCGCACAACTACGAATCAACCAATAAGAAGCCTCACGCAACGACCTCCCGCCAAGCTGAAAAGGCCCTCTGGAAATGCTGACGCGGCGGCGCCAAGAAGCGGCGTGATAACACTCCATATCCGTAGCTTAACTTTAAACTCACTCAACGATACGTTAGGCAGCACTTTCTCACTTCAATTGTTCTGAAAATCAGAAGCTCGTGATACGTTTTTCCTGCCTCACATACCAGCCCTGAGCTGTACCTAAGGTACCTTTTATCTTTATAAATATATATCTCCGGAAAGATACCTAGGTAAAAAATAAGTGCAATCATGAATAGACACCGCTACGAACCCGTAAGTCACTATCCAACCCAACCCCGCTCTTGCGATATATATCCTCATTCAACAACCAGGTCTCCCAACGCGATCGCGACACCCAACCCGTAATCCTCTCCCCCATACCTACATCCACATCCCCCTCACACCCCAATTCCAACAACTACAACTTCAACACTGGCCTCCCCTCG